TATATAGGTCCTATATATAGTTTATAGAAAAGCTTATAGCTTATTAGTATATTTTAAGAGGTTTTTAAAGGCTTTTATAAACTATATTATATTTATAAAAATAGCTATTTTAAATACTATTACCGGAATAATAAATAGATATTTATAATTTATAAATCCGGTATTTAAAATTAGTAAACTATTTATAATAATTATTAGATTATTTTATATAACTTGTATTTTCTTTAGAAATTCTATTTATATATTAATATAGAAATATATATTTTAGTTTAAATAATTAAATATATTTATAAATATATATATAAAAAAAATAGATTATATAATAGTTATAATTATAGCTATAGATAATAAGATTACCCGATATATATATATCTATTATATAAGTCTATATAAGGCTATTTAATAGCTATTTAAATTTCCTATATATTAGAAATTCTTTTTTATTTAGTATTTTATAATTTATTTTAAAAAAAAGCAAATAGTTTATTTTTCGAATAATATTTCTTTTATAACTCTAGCTATAGAAACTATAAATATTTATTTAACTTTAATAGCTTTCTTTAAATATAATACTATATATAAAAATAGCTAGTAATACTTATATTTAAAGTTTCTGGTTTATTTTATATAGGTTTTAAAAACTTATATATAGAAGTATTATTAATAGAATAATAATAACCGGATTAGCTATATATATTATTATAGCTCTATTTTAAATAAGTAATACTATTTATAGTTTTTATTTATAATTATTTATAACTTATAGTTTTTTATAAATCTATATTTAGTTAAAAGCATTTATTATCTAATATACTAAACTATCTATATTATTTATAGTTTAATAGAAAATAACTAAAAATAATATTAGTATTTTAATAAGGCTATTCTATTTATATTTATAAATAATTTATAAATATTATTCTTAATTAGCCTTTATTAATAGCTAATTATAAACTTATTAGTAATCTAAAACCGGTATAAATACTACTTCTATAATAATTTCTAGTACTAGCTTATTTATAGTAATAGTTTCCTATTTTTATTTTTTAATTTATATTATAATTATAGTCTTTTCTTATTTATATATAGGTTTATAGACTAGTAATAGTTACTTATAAACTATAGGCTTTCATTTTTTATTTAAAATTAGATTAGTAAATATTATTCTTTATTTATATTATATATTCTCGAAAACTAGATATTACTTATAATTATAATATAAGTCTAGTTTAATTCTAATTAGTAATTATATTTTATAAAAATTATTATAGCTATTAAATTAGATTTATAAATAGCCTATTTCTATTTATAAAAGCTAGAAAATATAGGCAAAATATTTTTATATAAGATATTTTATTATTACTTTTATAAATAAAAGCAAATAGTTCTTTATATAATATCTATAGATATTATAGCTTTCTTATTATTAAATAGATATATATTTTATTTCTAGTTTAAGATTCTAATTAAGCTTTATAAATTATTTATAAGTTTTATTATAAAATAGAATGTTTTTAGATAAATTTTCTAGTTTATAAATCTTATTATCTAAGATAAAATACTAATATAATATAAGTATTATTTTAAAGTTATTTACTAGCTTTTAGTAAATTTATAATCTATAATAAATAATATTCTTTTTAGAAAAATACCTATAATTTTTAGTAAAAACTTTAATTAAATTCTTTTAGTTATATTATATAGTTTATAAATAGATATTATTACTATATATTTTTAATAATTATTTATTTATTTATAATTCAAATAGCTTTATTTATAGACTAATATATAGATCTATAAAAGTAAAAATAGCTAAAAGTTTATTTACTAGATTAGTAAATTATTTAATAATTTAAACCCGAATAAAATAATAGTAATTCCGGATTATATAAACTAACTAGTATTAATTATAGATTTAATTAGCTATATTTACTTTCTAGATTTTTTCTTCCGGACTATTATAAATCTATTAACTTTTTATAAATAGTATCTTTTAACTATATTAAATACTATAGTTTTAGAACTTAATATTTATATTTTTAAATATTTATTAGACTAATTATAAATAGACTAATTATAAATAGACTAATTATAAATAGACTAATTATAAATAGGCTAATTATAAATATACTAATTATAAATATACTAATTATAAATATACTAATTATAAATATACTAATTATAAATATACTAATTATAAATATACTAATCTAATTATAAATATACTAATTATAAATATACTAATTATAAATATACTAATTATAAATATACTAATTAGTAAATTCTCTAGATATAAATAAGTTTTCGGATAATAACTTATATAAGCTATTTATAGAATAGTTATAAAATATTAATTTTTCTTTTTTATTATTATCTTAGTTTATTTTTAAAATTAAAGCTTTAATACTACTTTTATAAAATTTATATTTATAAAAAGATTTATATAATAGAATTTAGATAGTAGTTATAAGCTTATAAATATATTATATTAAGGCTTATTTATTTAAAAGGAATTTTAATAACTAGTTATAGATAATTCTATAAATTAAGCTATTTACTATAAATACTAGCCTAAGAATTGCTTTTTTCTAGAAATAGTTTCCGGTTTATTTATATTTTATAATAACTATTAATAAATTATAAGATTAGTTCTTTTATACTATTAGTTTGAACTTATAAATACTTATATTTACTTATAGGCAGTTTTATATAGGGGTTTTCTATATATTATCTATAAAAGGCTTAAGTATTCTTTTATTATATAAAAATTTATTTAGAATATTTAATATAATTTATTCTAAAATCTTAGCTATTTTATTTTAGTATTTTATTTCTTATAAATATTTTATAACTACCGGATAGCCTTATAGATCGGATTAAGGAATTTAAAGATCTATAACTATTTATAACTATCTATAAGTATCTATATCTATCTATAAGTAATTTATAATTATTACTTTAAATATTTTAGGATTTAAATAGATTAAAAATATTATATTATTAAATATTAAAAATATATATTTCTTTTAGATAACTCTTTATAGGATTTATAACTTCTTATTTTATTTACTTTCCTCTTTCTCTTTTTCTCTTTCCTCTTTTCTCTCTTTTTCCTTTTTTTCTTTTCTCTTCTCTTCTCTTTTCTCCTTTTTCTTCTTTCTTTTCTTTTTTTCTATCTCTAGTACCAAGTAATTTGTTCTTTTCTTCTTCTCTAATACTTCTATTTCCTTTTTATAAAGAGCTACTAGCTCTCTATAAAGCTTAGTAAAACAGTATACTATTTAAGAGAAAGTAAATAGATAGTAGTAATAAAAGGTAATAGGATAATAGGCTATTTATATATTAGTTATAATCTATAATAATCTATAATAGATATATATATATAAAAATAATTTACTAGAAGTAATTTAATAAAGCGGATATAGGTTAGTAGTAATAGGGGCAGAAGCTAGAGCTAGAGCTAAAGCTAGAGAAAGAGAGAAAGTAGTAATAATACCTATAAGTACCTATTAGATTAGTTATAGTTTATAAAAAATTAGTAAATAGATATAAAAAGCATTTATAGAAAGAATAATAGGTACTCTTACTACTATAATAGTAGTTAATATAGCTTTCTTTAAACCAACTAGCTATAACTATATATACTATCTATATACCCGACCTACTAGTATAATATATATATCCGGTAGTATAAACTTGACTAACGAATTAGCTAAGCTTAGCCTCCAGGTTAGCAGGCCGGGCAGGATTAGTAGTACAGCCGGGCCGCAAAACAGGTACCTGTAGCGGAGCCAGTAAAGAGAGTGCTGTTATGGTGCGGGTTGGGCGGGCGGGCAGGGCAGGCAGAGCAGGCAGGGCAGGCAGGGCAGGTACTGGCACTAGTACTGGTGCTGCTACTGCTGGTGGTACTGCTGCTGCTGGTACTACTGCTGCTAGTGCTGCTGCTGTTGCTGCTATTGCTACTACTAGTACTGGTGCTAGTAGTGGTAGTAGTAGTGGTACTAAAGCTGGAGCTGCAGCTGGAGCTAGTACTGGTACTGCCGAAGCAGCGGGAGCAGATGGGAGAGAAGACATTCTACGGACCGTAAGGAGCGTTACAGGCCAGAGGCAGGCCTGTAGCGGGTATAGGGGTTGACTTACGTATATATATGTGTATGTATATTTATTAAAGGAAAGAAGCTTTGGAATTCGAAATTAAAACCTACCTTATTTAGCTTACCTGGAAAATTTTTAGCCTTTAAAAAGTGAATTTTCAAAGTGAATTTAAAGTCAGTAAAGCTAATATCCCTTAAATAAGTGCCTGAGGCATCCAATTAATCTCGAATCGAGATCAGGGCAAAATTAAAGACTGGCCCCGAAGCTTGCGTAGGGCCGCCAGGCTTTAATTTTAGCGAAGCGGCCCAGATCTCGTTAGCATCAATTACAGCTTGACAACGCCTCCACTATGACTCAAAAAGTGTCTCAATATAGCTGTCTGGGACAGCATTCCAAGCTTGTAAAACAATCCCTCTCAGAATATCTAAAGAGACACACTTCGCATCGTAATAAGCTTGAAAATAATGCTCCTGAATATATCTCTTCATCCAGCTCCATATATGCTCAATAAGGTTCAAATCAGGGAAGTAAGGGGGCCAGTCGATAGAGGGGATATTCCTCCGGTATAGATTATCTTGCGTCTCAAAAGACCTGTGGCAAGATGCTCTATCGTATTACCAAGCAAGGCGGACCCCTCATACTCTTTCTATATCAAACCAAGCTTGGACTTGAGATAGTATAACCTCATTATACTTTCTTGAGTCCATAGAACCCCATTCCTTCTCCCAGAATATCGCAGGACCCTTTCTCCCTCTACAAATCACTCCATGGAACATCTAAGCCGGTCGTTTTGAGTACTTGTGCTGGACACATTCTGGCAGGTATCGGTCTTTGCGAATAGCTTCAGGATCGCCGTCAACCAGGACTATAACGTAGCTTTATATAAATGCTCCTCTATATGCCCAAACCTCGTCTGAAAAGCATTGTAAATAGAGTTGTTCCCGGGACCAAGTTAAACCCTCTTTTGCGAAAGCAACCCGTTATGCCATATGAACTAGATCGTCTGAAAATCCCTTTCTTTTAGCCACCCGTCTCCCATATCCAATAGACTTAAATACTGTACGAATAGCCTCAAATCCATATTCTTGTAGCTCAAGCTCTGGCGTACACGTAGGTAGGTTATAGAAGGATATATAACGGTATACCGGATTTGCCAAAAGCCACTCCTTGAGCTTTGTAACCTTCTCTGCCGGGATCGTAGGTTTACGTCCAACCTTAGTCTTCTTTTGCGGGGTAATTAGATTCTGTTGAACAAGCCTGATTTGACGTAAGGTAAAGCCGTATTCGTCTTTATATCTTCTCCATACGGAACGAGGGGTGGCCCATTCAAGGGCAGTCTTGATACGTATACGATCGGATCGGGTTGTTTCTCGTGCACGAGACTTTCTAATTCGCGTGCGAGGGGTACGAGGAGAGTGAGGAAGGACTGCGATTCGCTGTGGACGTAGAGTATTGAGTATTCGATGGAGATCCATTGATTGGTGTGGTTGAATAGGATAAAAAGAGAGAAAAGCGGAGAGAGAAGACGTTAAGTGTCCTTCTTTTAATTGGCTATTAGCCCCTGTAAACGCCCTGTAGAACCGCCTGTAAATACCCCTACCACGGACCCACTGTTACATTTAATTTAGGGGGGGGGGAGTATTACTTTTTTCCTTGCAGGCTGCAAGATCAAATAGGGTAACCTATCGCATGCAACATTGAGACGAACCATCCATCCTTCTCCCTTTGTCCACACCTGCTACAACATGTCAACAAACCTTGCCTGCTGATCTCCTTGCGTCTGGATAATGTAAGCTTTTAGGGAGGCGGCACGGAACACTACCACATTTTTAAAGAACGCGGGCCGAGACGTTAGGGAGTGCAGCCTTCGCCGCAGATCAGCACGGATTTCCACGAAAGTGTATCTTTGATTGAAGCTTGATGTAACCCCATGATCGTCAACCCAGGCAATCATCGGATGAACTCACGCACTGGGCACAGTTGACCTTCTTTCTTTATACCGATATGGAACTTAGCCATAGCTGATTCAACCAATGAGGGTCTAGAGGCCATGAACATCACTGCAGGTAAGATTGCCAATGATCATCATGTTGATGCATTTAGCGAAGACTCAAGCTGTGACTTCGAAAGTCTAGACTCGGACTCCGAGTCCGGGATGCCTGCAACTCTTTTCACAATTCTTCCGGCGAGCTGACCATTAAAATAGTTCCGCGGCATTAAAATAGTTCTGGCAAGAGAATTCACGGCTAGGGGAGTGATATGTCAAGATTAGCACTATAGGAACATGGGACCGTAGCGACCTTACCACACCTGAGCACCTTCCACCGAGCTTCCATCTCAATACGAAAGCGAGATCTTGAAAGCCGGGGTTTTCAAGGATACCTTGACTCTGTTGGGCTTACCTCGAAAGTTGCAACCCCTTATCCCGTACGCGTCTGATCTTCTCCGTCAAACCCACTTCGCACCTTCACCAATCCCGCCCATCGACTTTGGCAACCGGATGCATCCCCGCAGACTCTGTTGACTGACATCGAGGGCTGCGCTATCGTTTTACTGTCTATACTTTTGTCAAGGCTGGGCTAATGATACACGCTGAAACATCTTGGCATATTAACTGATATCAACATTTACTTTCCTTTGTTCGGGCAGCTCCATGCAAAGGCCAACTTACGGTTCATAATGGTAATTCTGTGGACACAGCTCCTTACTATATTCGTTCTCGCGGCTTTTGGCACAGTGTCTGCAGAGCACTACGATATTGCCTCGAGGGCAAATACATCTATACCTTCAGAGATACTGCAACCATACGGATTGTTTGAGCGAGCTTTGCCTGCTGGACAATGCGCCGATGGATAGCCATGTGCTGATGGATCATGTTGTAATGGAAACAAGTATTTGAAGCAGTAGCTAAGCAGTGTTGACAGAAGCTAACCTGCACCATCACTTAGTGGATATGTTTGAAGCCATTCCAACATATATATCATCTTACTAACGTTTGCAGTGTGGACTTGATGCAGCACACTGCACTGTTCCCCCCATGTATCTCGAATTGTGACGCAAAAGTAGAGTGCGGTAGCTGGGCCCCGGTCGCTGGAACTACGTGCCCTCTCAATGTTTGTTGCGATCAGTATGGTTATTGTGGAGTAACATCTGTAAGTCCATGTCTACTTTATGTGAGTCTCCTTCTGATTGCGATTGTATCAGGAATTTTGCTCTACGGGGTGTCAAAGCAATTGCGATCAGCCACCTGCGACGGCGCTCAGCAATGGTAATGTGACGAATCTGGTCATGGGGTAAGCTTCTTTTGTTGCTCACATGGCTGGCTATTAACTTCAATGCAGATACTTCTCTGCTTGGGCGCCTCTCCAGAGAGGATGTAAGCCTCATATCTCGTTCTACTGTGAGGGGCTTATTAGACTCACTGTACTTGACAGGCAATCAACGAGACGTTTCATTTATCAGAACTGATTCTATAACCCATCTATACGTTGCATTTGGATACATCACCCCAGATACATATGAGATCTTCCCGATTCCAGGCTCTGACATGGCTACATTCTTGCAAATCATGCAACCGAAGCACAATGCGCCTGGACTGCGAATATATCTTTCACTTGGTGGATGGAGTAAGTCTATGTCAATGCCTTTGAGGATAATCCAACAAGAGTACAAATTCTAATACGAATGAAACTCAGGCTTCAGCCACAACGGAACCGATGGTCAGCCAGTCTTTGGAGATTTGAGTAGCACTCCTGCAAAGAGAAGCACCTTCATTACCAACCTTGCCTCGTTCATGCGACAGTATGGCTTTGATGGCGTAGACTTAGACTGGGAGTAAGTGCTGGCGTTCTAGATCATCAACTCTAGACTGACAACCGTTAGGTATCCTGGAGCTCCTGATCGAGGAGGTACGACGGCTGACACAGCAAACTATGTTGCTCTACTTCGGGATATTAGGACCTGGTGGGATGCTCAAACATCTGGATGGGGTCTTTCATTTACCGCTCCCACTAGCTATTGGTAAGTTCTGCTTCTCAATGTGCATGGATGGCTTTTGAGAACGTGTGATAGCTACCTTCGCTGGTTCGATATCGGAAACATGACCCAATACGCTGACTGGGTCAATTTGATGACATATGATTTACATGGCAGCTGGGACTCACCCGAAGACGACATTGGATCATTTGTATACGCTCATACAAATTTAACAGAGATATCGGCAGCTCTTACTGAGGCCCACAGCTAGCTAGCGGACAAATCCGAGAAGCGAAAAGTGATTTTCTGATTTTCTGATTTTCGCACTGGCGCCCCGCACACCCCCCCCCCCCCTCCTCCTCCCCAAGGCAGAATTCTAATTAGGGTATAGCACCATACGTACTTTCGGTTGTTAACGCAATAATAGTAAGGCTGCTTGCTTGTCTAATTAATAAAGTAAGAGCCCATACTACCGCATAAAATCATACCAAAATTAAGGCCGGATAGTATAATATAAAATTAAGATATTTATTATAAATTACTATAGTCCAGGTAACTACAGGCTATAAGCCCTTCTAGGATAAATGCTATTAATAGGGGTTTAATAATTTCCTTAATATTCGCGAGATTAGAAATAGAAAATTAAACTATTAAAATAACTGAGAAAGCCGGCTTTATTATTTTTTTTTAGTAATTAATTAATAAAATTATATAGGGGTAATATTACTCGAGTTTTTTAGTACTTATATATTATTACTAAAAAGTATATTATATAGTAAGCATATCCTAAACTTAATCCCCTATTAAAATAACTTAGTGGATTTTATTAAAATAATACTATAAACTTTTAATAAATCTCCCTTACGGTATATAAAGCTATTACAAATAGGCTATATAAATATTTAGATTTAAGATGAAATTTATCTCAAATGGATTAAAGATTTATATGACATCTTGGTTTTAATGCGGTAAATATTGTTTCGTCGGTAAATTATATAGAATAGAAGTATCTAAAATATGATGTACTTTATAATAATAGATTTGGCTTTTCTTTATTATATGGATTAATAATTACTGGTATTGTGCTAGAGTATAGATTTATATAGTAAATATTTAAAGGATCTTAAGGATTTTCGGTTTATATACCTTAATGTATCTTGAGGTATTACGTGTCTATTATGTTAGAGGGTAGAGATGTCGTTTTTTTTTTTTTTTTTTTTTTTTTTACTAAATATTAATTAAGAAGAAGATATATAAATTAGATTAAAAGAATTTATATGCGAATCTTTAGTTAATCCGTGATATGGTTCCGACCGCGCCTACTTATCAGGAATAGAATATCCTAAATATGGCTACTTTAAATAATTAGATATGCCTTTTCTTTATATATAGATTATAATCCTGTATTTATCTAGGAGATATAGATAAGGAAATACTTAAGGATCTTAAGGATTACGGTTATATAGCTTTAATTACTAGAATTATCCATATATATAGGAAGCTTGATCTTATTTATTATATAACTATAATAAATAGGCAAGCGGCGGACAAGTAACTATTTGTAATACTATAAAGTAAGCTAAATAATAGGCGGGTTATAGGTTATAGATAGTAGTATTTATATATATACTTCTATTAATAAGGTTTACTAGTAACCCGGTTAGTCTTTCTATACTTTACTATTTTGCCCTAGCTTAGAAGATTAGGGCCTTATTTACTAATATATTTTGTTATTTATAAGGAGAGCTTATATATAATATTATAACTCCTGGATCCCGAGGTAATTATACTATAAATATAATAGATATAGTCTAAAAAGGGAGAATATATTATATCTGGGCCGGACTAGATTTAGTTAATTAATAGATATAATAAGCTATTACTATTTGGGATCGAGATATATACTTATATTAATACTTATTTATATAATATTATTTAGGTATATATCGGAATCTCTAATTAAACTACTTATTTGGTTATATAGTAGTATTTTCAGATTTATACTTAAATAAGCTACTACTCTTACTTCTTTAGGGCTAATCGAGGCTCTAAACTCCCTTTTATTACCGAAGTATACTTTGTATTCTTACGGATAGCCGATCCGTTAGTTATATATATAGAGAATTACTTTATTTTTAGGAAAAGCACCGAGAATTAGTAGGTTAAATTCTAGTAGTAAGAGCTTTAGAAGAGCTAGTTATACTAGTAGTATATAAGTAATTCCGTTTCCCTATATCTGCCTCTTATTCTTTCTATTATTAGAAGGAAGTATTAGATACTAATAATTATACCGCTTTTTATTAAGGCTATTAGGTCTAGTATTATAATACCAGATTATATAACTAATTCCGATTAGTATATATAGAACTATTTTCAGGAACTAGCCTATACCAGGAGTTATAATTACTAATACCTATAGGACCGGATTACTTTACTAGTACTTTATATATAGTAGATCCAAAACGAGATATATAGGTTTATAGACTTATAGAATATCTATAGGATTAGAAAAGACAGATCTAGGCCTAATATAGTAGCCGGTAAGCTATTTAGACTATATATAAGGCCCCCAGGCAGGATATAGTACTGGGGTTGCCCTATAGATATAGAGCTTTATAATATAATCCTTAATAATTATTTAGTTTGGGATAAATAATATAACCTTATATAGCTCTATATAAATAGTTTACTTATATACTAATATAGATATTAACGAGTTTTTACTAAGAGAAATACTAGAGTAGTACTATTAGAAGCTTATATCTTATAGTATAAATATAACTAATATTTATATAGGAGATACTAATAGAAACGGTAACCGACTATATATTTAAGCTTATTACTAGCTCTAATATATAGTCCGGGTATATATAGCCTCAGGGCAGCTGCTAATATTAGAAGAGTCTAAGAAGCTAACTAGTAGATATAATATTACTATTATACGGAATAGGATCCTTAAGTAAGTTATTCTAATAAATATAGAGTATATAAATAATATATAGGCCAGAAAAATACCCGTATAGTTCCTAATAGTCCAGGACTTTACCCAGAAATGGCCCTTTATTAGTAATACTTCTAATAATATGAAATAGTTAAATGAGCTAGTTACGAAATAACTAGATATATTAAAATAGGTATTATTTATTATTAAATATATTATTTTTAAAACCCCCTTTTTACTTTTGAGAGTAATACTAATAGAATTATTAAGTTTATCTACTATATAAATATTCTATACCTTTAAATTCTTATCTCTTAAAATAGTACTACTATTTCTCAAAACCTGCCCTAATACTATATATCCTATAGCCGAATACTAGTATAGTAATATCTAATATTATGAGTTCTATTAATCTACTAATAATAAATATAATATAGAAGCCGCTGCTTTACTTATCCAGAGTAGTAATACTAGTAAACTTAAACCTTATAGTTCTGGAATTCCGTTCGTATCTATTTTTCTTTTTATACCTGGAATACTTTAGATCTCTAGCTTTTCTTAGTATTCTTATTTTATATCTTTTCTTCTAGGAATATCTACTATATCTATTCCTCTAGTTACTATTATTATATAGCCGCCAGGTATTAGTTCTGCTTTACCCCAGGCTTCTCCTATTCTAATAGCCCTATAATTACTCCCTTTTATATTTCCTTTTATTATAAGCTATATTACTTGACCTAACTATTCTTTTAGTAATACTTATACTATTATATAAGCTTAATGGACTATAAATATAAGAGTTACTTAGGCTACTACCCAGGCCATAGCTCCTTATACTAGTAATAGGCTACCTGAAGCCTTTTAAGGTCTTATAAATTAAAATATAACTGGATCTAGTCTTATAGAATTATAGACTATAGTTTTATAGCTAGTTCTCTATAAGTAGGTATTTAATAATATAAAGAATTAGAGAGCTAAGTAAAGAACTATCTAACTTTCTAAAGAAGTTAATAGTAAGTTTTCTCCTATTTCTTTTACTAGATTCTCTATATAAATTCTAATAGATATTTTTTAATAGGTAGCTTTTAATTTAAAATAAATAATTAAGTCTTTTCTATCCTTTCTAATATAGTTTCTTAGTAGCTATTCTCTTACTTCTCTTTCTATATTAGTAGACCTATCTACTATTATTAATTTATTAATAATATAAATAAACTAGTATTTTATACTAGTCCTAATAGTAAAAGAGCCTAGGAACTTATAGTCTTGCCAGATTCTATCCAAACTATCTTTAATCTTTCCTGCTATAGTATATATCTGGGCCCTAAAGATATCTAGATAATTTTCCTTATTTTATACCAGAATAAAACTCTATATAAAGATATTCGTTTTAAAATTACTTATAAAGAGCTAGAAAATGCTTAGAAAAAGACTTTATATAAAGATCTCTGTCTTAAAATTACTTATAAAAAGCTAGAAAATACTCAGAAAATATAATAACTTAAAAAGATTAAATAATAGACTAAGGAGGCCCAGAGAGCCCAGAAAAGTATTACCTGCTAGTATAGGTATAAGACTTTAAGAGTAAAGAAGAATCTAATAAACTAGTAAGTAAATAAAGGTATATATATAATTCTTTCCTTTAATTCTGGCTCCTATTCTTTATTTCTTCTATAGACCCTTTTTTGTTTTTAGATTTAATTAACTTATATATATTAGGATTCTTCTTTATTTACTAACCTCTGGGAATTATAAGATAATACGGAAAGTACTACTAAAAGTATTACTAAAGCTAATCCTAATAGTAATAATAATAATAATAGTAATAGGCTATTAGATCCTCCTTTAATTTTACTATCCTCTTTTCTAGTAAAAGGAACTATAGTTAATCTTATGGACTATATAAGTATTACTCTATAGTAATAGATATATTAGAGATATAAATATACTATTTCTCTTCCTTATTAGATATAGAGAATTAACGGGTATAATATCTTTAGCTTTATAAGTAAAACCCAAGGTATCCGGGCTACTATTAGTACTTCGCCTATTACTTCGGATAGAAGTCTAATTATTATTATTAAACTCTCTAGGCTAATTAATCTTATTTCTCCTAAGCAAACCCATTATATAAGGTCTAATAAATTATATATGAATATCTGCCGAGGTTAAGGTAGTTAAGAAAAAATAGGCCTAATATCTAATATACTTTTTCTTATATCTTATAATTAGCTTAGTACTATTTTGGGTCTTATTTCCTTACGGATATATATATACTTGGAATTTATAATTAATATTTTAAAATAATACTCTTTAATTAGTTCTTATATAATTTAAAAGTCAGGCTACTAAATTTAATGCTTTTATAATACTTAAATTTACTCAAGTTTATAAAGTCTTATAATTATTAGGGCCTTTATAATTCTTTACCTTTTAAGTTTAATACCTAAATAGTATTATATACTTTACCTTTAGTATAGAGGAGGCTCCTAAAAGTCTAGGGTTATAAAGGAATTTTTATATTAAGGATATATTATATTATAATAATAAAATTATAAGTATTTATATATAAATATATAATATATTAGACTAGCTATACTAAAAACCATACTATATTTATATATAAAGTTACTAATTGCTTTATATTAATACCGGACCCGTATAGTTATATAACTTTATATAATTAGCTAGCTATAGAAAAGCCCTAAAGCCCGAAACTTATAAAAAGTCTTAAGGGCTTTAGGGCTTCCGGATTATTACTAATACCCGGTATTCTTTAGGAAAAGAGTATAATATATTCTATAATAAGTAATTTATTATAGACTACTTAACCTTTAAATTAAGTAAGAAATCTAAGGGCCAGGCTTGTAATTCAAGTCTTATTAAGGTTATTAAAGTTTTTGCTAGCTAGTACTATAGATTTAATAAAAATATTACGGGAATTCTATAGATTCTATTCTAATCTATCCAGAAAATATATATAGTATATTTCCTTATTTATTCTAATATTTATATATGATTCCTAAAAGCCGAACTATTACCTAAGAAAGAAATAAAAAGGCTACACTAATATCTTTAAAAATTAAAGCCTTAATAAGTCTATCTAGAAAAGCTTACTAATTTTTCTAAAAATAATTCAAGAAAAATTTAAGTTTATTATATATTATAACTTATATAACCAGGGATAGAAACTATTTTAATAGGCCAGAAAGAGTTTCTTATATGGCTTACTTATATAACCAGAGATAGGGACTTGAGTTTATTATATGGAATTACCTATATATAGAGATTCCTGCTATAAATTCCTTATTTGGATTAATTAGTTAAATCTATTTTTAATACTAAATCTTTATTAAGGTAACTTCCCGCTTCCAGAGGCTTTAGATAAAATAGCTAATAAGTTTCTTAGCTATTAGCTAAGACTTATTAGCTAGAAAATCTATAAGTAATAGACAAGATTATAAAGCAGAACTCCTCTAACTATAATACTAAAACGTTTTATTATAATATAAAGTAATTAGATATAGAAGCCCTATTAAATATAATATATCTCGAACTATAAGTTTATAAGATAAATATAGGAAGTTTTAGTACTTAACTAGTACTATAGTCTAGCCCAAAGGTGCCTACTATTCTTTATACCTAATTTAATAGGAATAAGAAATACCTATATTTTAACTCAAGAAATAATTAGGACTTTTATATAAACTTAGGATAATAGTTTATTCTATAGAGAGAAAATAGACCAGAAATACCTATACTATATTAATCTTTAGGAGAAGTTATAATAAATACTATAATTCCTAGAATACTTTTAAGAAAGCTTTCCCGAACTAAAATAGGCTAGTTTATAATCCCGAAAGATCTATAAGAGTCTTATATACCCGAAAGTATAAATATTTAAAGTAAATACTATTTGAGTCCTAACCTATAATAAAAGGAAAGTAAAGTATATAAAATAAAATATATAAAGCAAAAGTAAAACAAAATACTAGGGTATTTAATAAATAAAAAGCCTAACTATAGATTATAAGAACTAGTACTAACTAGGTATATATACGGTAATATTAAAGAAGAGGTAAGATAAGGAGAACTAAAAAGTAAGATTAGTATATATTTTATAAAAGCGAATAGAGAAATATCTAAATAGCCCAAAGGCGAGAAGTATATATTAAAAAAGTCGAGATTAGAGGGAAAAGGGCTATTTCTTATAAGAATAAGTTAGTATATATTTCAAGATAAAGAATAGGGGTACTTAGTAATAGTCCAAAGGCTTTTATAAGTATTAAAGGAGGAGAGGAGGTATTAAAGTTCGGAGGGATCTAAATAGGAGTTAGCCTCTTTTTTGGAAGTTCGAGAAAGGATACTCCTAAAGAACCCAAAGGTATAAGAGGTATTAGAAAAGGAGAGAAGGAGATATTAGAAAAAGAAAGGAGGGATCTAAAATTTAGCTTTCTAAGGAGCAAGTAGATTAAAAACTTATAGTATAGGAGTTCTAGATAAAAGTAATTCGGAAATAGTAATTAGGTACTAGCTTTTGGTATTATTAGTAGAAGTATTAAAGGAGAAGGAATAAGAAAGAGGGGTTTAGAAAAGGAATAAGGAAGGGTTTAGAGGAGGAGAGGAAGGTTATAAGGTAATTAGATACTAGCTCTTAGTATTAATAGAGATATTAATAAAGATATTAATAAAGGTATTAATAGAGAAAGTATTAGTAGAGGATAGAAGCTCTTAGTATTAATAGTAAAGTCGAAAAAATATAGAAAAAGAATAGAGGTTTTAGAGTAAAAATAGAATAGAGTTATAGTTTTATAGAAAATAAAGTTATTAGTATAGGATAGTTATATTATTATATAATTCCATATTTACTTTTACTATTTATTAAGAATATATATCTCTTAGAAGAAAGTATTATTTAGAATTCTTAAGCCTTTCTAATTTAATAACTATATATTCGAAAAATAAGAAATAAATATAATTATATATACTAGAATAAGGGAATTCTTCTTATCTAAAAAATTATAATTATAGTATTACTAAATATAGAGATATAGAAGTTTATATAATAAGCTATATATAGAGATTTAAGGAAATTTAAATTACCTTGAATTATTTATAATTAGTAAAGTAAATTAGCTAATTATATGGGTCAAGTATAGTTTAATTATTATTAGTATATCTTAGCTTTTGCGAGTTAATAAGAAAAAGAATATTTATATCTTTATTTTTATAATTATAATACCTAAAATTATAATTTTTTTAATATTTAAATATATTTAATCTAGGGCTATTAAATACTAATATTTCTATTTTTAGGTATTATTTATTATAAATTTATTTGGATTTAAATAATTATATTAAATATATATCTTTATATCCTAAAAGTAAATAATAAAGATATAGCTATACTAGCTTTAATCTTAGCCTTAACCTTAATCTTAATCTCTTTCCGAAAATAACTTTAATTCTAATATATAATACTATTATTAAAGCTTTTCTTTATTAAAAACATATTAAATATGGCTTTAGGTAGCGGTTCTAGTAAAAGCAAAAGTAGTAGAAAAGGTAATAAAGCTATAAATAAGCAGAAAGATAATATTTATAATATACCTTCTAATAATCCAGACTTAGTCTATAATATCCTCTCCCGTTAATACGTTTAACTAATAAACCCTTCTACTTCTTAACCTCCTCCTTATATATAATCTCCTCTTCCTTCTCTATAATAATACTTTAATCTCCTTATACTATCCGATAATATTACTAAAGTAGAAAGCAAATTAATAATAAGGCTAAAGTTAGAGAGATAGAGCTATACTAGAGCAGGGAGCTAAAGGAATTAGAGAAAGGCAAGGCAAATCTAGAGGCAAGCTTAGTATATACTTGCGGAACCAAATCCTCTCAAGCTTATACTACTTATAGTAATAAGAAAAGACCGAGGGGCCCTTTTAAATACTATATAGTTATAGAAGGCGAATTCGATAGTACTTATACAAATTATAGATATAATAATAATAGTAAAGTCTATACTTTTCATTAACTTAATACTAATCCTACTAAGTCTGGAAAGCCTTACTCTATATCTATAAAACCCTTTATACCAAAGCCTTAACTACCTATAAGATATAGAAAGCGAGTATAAAGACAGATATAAGGTCAGAAGGTAATAGGGAAGGAGATTATAGTAGAGGAGGGTAAGGATACTAGAGGAGAAGGGAATAAAGGAGATATAGATAATTCGAGTAATATAGGCAGTACGGAGAATATAGAGAGTAAGGGAGATGGAGATATGCCTTATAATCTATAGGATTTGCCTTATGGACTATGCAAGCTAAGGGGGGGTTAGGAGTAGTCGAGAATAAGGCGTATATGCTGTACCTTTTTTTTTTTAGGGGGGGTGTGGGCGCGAAAATCAGAAAATCAGAAAATCACTTTTCGCTTCTCGGATTTGTCCGCTAGCCCGCTAATGGCCTCAGTAGCTCTGGATCTCCTTTGGCGAAACAACGTTCCGGCTAACAAGGTAAATTTGGGTCTCGGGTTCTACGGGCGATCATACACTCTATCGGATCCATCCTGCTCATCTCCCGGCTGTCCATTCAGTGATCCAGGTTCGTTACTTTTTGCCCTTTCATTCTCAATTTTTAAGTTTGTTTGCGGGCTCGGCTCCTGCCTGGCTCGTGAAACTTCATGAAAACTTCCCTGCTTATACCATATATAGGCATTGCCGGCAGTTGCACGGGAACTGCTGGGATCCTGTCTTATGATGAGATCGAGACAACTTTGAGTATGTATCAACTGACGACCTACTATGATGAAATTGCTGGCGTGAATTACTTCTCATGGAACCAGGATCAGTGGGTATCTTTCGACGATGCCCGGTCCCTAAAGAATAAAGTGGATTATGCCAATCAAAATGGACTTCTTGGTATCTTCATATGGGCGCTAGATCTTGACGACATGAATCATGACGCACTGAATGCAGTTTTGTATTCGAAAGGCGGTCTTGGCGCATTCAAACAACAAGACGGTGTTGGACTCAATGATTTTACGAATTATACTCGAGGATCAGGAGCTTGCTTCCTCGGTGAATGTAGTCCAACACCAGGTTGTACTGGACCTTACCAAGCCGTCGGACATCAGATCAGATGCGATCAACAGGGTATGTATCGACAGGTTTGTTGCCCAAATACAAACACTCCGAATCCAAATATATGTACATGGCGTGGAGGTAGGTGCAAGGCCACTGTGTTTGAGCGTCTTATGACTAACAGTACTCCTCAGCCGACATTATACCTTTGATTTGTGATCAAGGTTGTATGAGTGACGAAGTTCTCATCGTCGAAAATGATTGGTACTACACACCAAACACCAACGGCAACGGAGATGCAGCCTGTTTTTTTGGCACGGAAGCAAAGTACTGCTGCAAAACGGTGAGTTTCTCCTCCGTTTATACGTGGTCATCTAATCGTTGCTCGTAATAGTCCGAAACCGCGTAGCAAGCTTGTGGCCCTGTGACAGGATCGTGCCTCCTAGCACCAATCGATCCAAATACCGCTTGTCCTGCCGGAAGGAATTTTGTGACATTCTCGGCAGGTGAGTAGTATAAATTTATCATATCAGCACTGGGAGTAACTTTATACAGGCAGTTGCACTACTGGTGGTTGGATGCCGTGGTGTTGTGATGAGGGGTATCCTGCTGATTGCAGTTGGGCGGACTGCAAAAATCCAACACAATGTCCACAGAACACTGTCCCCATGGGCACGTCCTGGGAAGGGGGTGGGACCGAATGTACATCGACAACAAACTGGTTTTGGACAGAGAATGGTTGGCACTGGAGCACCGATAACACTCCCCAACAACTATGCTGCGAGGCTGGATCTCTGACGATCTACTCTCAAACACTCCCAGCACCACTCGAGTCAGTATCAGGAACCACCTTAGTCATTTACTCAGTCTAATATCCATCAGTTGGATATTCCCGACTCCAGGGCCCTCTACTGACAAACAGAGTTTTGACCTCGAAGTTGGCCCGGATCCAGGAAGTGGGAGCAGCCAAGATCCAGATGCGGATGGGTTTGGATGGGCCATAATGTCCGGTCCACAGTCAGAACTCAGCACCTTTGACAAACGTGATGGCAGCCATTGGGAACTATATGACTGTCCGACAGAGAAGCACGAGGGTCGCCAGACCGTCAAAGCCGTTTGCACCGATACTTCTCCGAACAGCAACTGTGGTGACATCTATCTTGGTAGAGGTGTTGCCGAGGCGATTGTTGAGCTGCCAGAAGGATGTGGTGCCGGTCATTATGCCATGGCTGTGAGTCTCGAGCCAGCAGTCAACAAAACCCTTCCGTCAGATCTCCGCCATCGGTTGATGAGTCGCGGCGTTTTCAGTCATACCGTTTATGACTTCACCTTTGACTTCGACTTTTCACCCTTGCAACGAAGAGGCAACTCCAATGTTCTCGTGCGTATTGACTATTCTTCCGTGGGAGGCTACTGGAGGAAGATAGTTGACGCTGCTCCCGGCACAACGCCCACGCGGAAGCGAGAGATCATCACAGAAGTAGAAACTTTGCACGGTGGCTCTTGGAAGAGGTATCTCCACCATACATTCAAGGAAGAACAAAGACGAACCCCAGATCATGAGCTTCATATCCTCCACAAGAGGTGGTTCTCAGCAAATTTGGCAGATTGGCTCACTGGCCAATATGACATCGATGAAGAGTATGAGTTGGCCAGACTGACCTACAAGGATACCTTCACCTACTTCTTGTTCAATGAAAACCTCAAGTGCACGTTTCAAGGACTGCCCGTAAACGCCTACTTCGCAGCATGGACTCAGCTAGGCATTGACGTTGAGACATCAGCGACTCTGACTCTCATTGTAAGTAGCGGATCTGTGTCGATATTATAGAGGCTAATGAGACTATAGGGAAATATGGGAGATTTAAATAGTTGGAGCGAATCCCATGTCACGTTCCGTAACAAAGGCAGTATAGATGTGGAATTGGGATTTGAGGCTTTCGGACAATCCAGTTCTCAACTGGAACGGCAGAAGTCTTCGGCACCCAGAACTTTGGCTCAGCATTAAATATTCCAGGTCTTGTCACTATAGGCCCCACCTTCAGGATTGGAATGGTAAATATGGCCTGTGATGTTGTCTTCTTTCACGAGATTCATAACTAACACTATGAATGCAGGAACTCACCGGACAGATGAGTGTCCACACGTAGGTCCCCTTTGAATTTCCAGCATAGACCAAACCCAATCTAACCCTTCACAGCAAAGCAAACGTCAACTTCAATGTTGCTTCATGGGACTATACTCAACGCTACCCAAATACCAAAAACGACATCATGTCTGGCGTCCCAGCGGACGGTGAAGTTCCTGAGACCTCTTCTGGGAATAGCTCCACGTCCTTCTACGCCGATTTATCCGCTAGTGGTGACATTACTGCTTGGGTGTAAGAATCATTCTTCCATTTCCTTCACACCCTAATGAAACCAAATACTCACTGACATCTCAGAAAACCCCTGATCCAACTTGGCATCGTATTCAACCCCAGTCTCAATGTCCCCAGCGCCTCTGTAAGTCTCCTTGAGTCCTTGATTCGATCAACACACCTATTTGCTTCTACCCCTCCAGAATGCTCACTGTAATCTTGAAACTAATCTTTAATCCCGCAGATCGACCTCGAACTCGACACCTACGCCACACTCTACGGCTCCGCGGGGGTGGGAACTACCCAGACCGCAAATGTCTGCTACGGGGCCAACGCTGGAATTGAATTATCTGCAGCTGTCAACGCTCCGTGAGTCTGAATTCTCCATCTCCAAGCACCCATACATTAGCCCTTATGCTCCAGCCACTCCCCTCCCAATTCCTCAAACCCAGAACACATGTGCTAATCATCCTCGCTTGCTTAGCACGCTCTTCGATGTGAGTTTAAATCAGAAACACACTTTCGTCAAACGAGATGTAAGTCGTTCCTTCTAACACGTTCCTTCTAAGACATTCCGATTTGAAGAGAAAATGTTCGCTGACGTGACCAAATTCAAAGTTCGATCTAATACAGCAAACTTGTTACAGTCCGGAATCATTTCAGGATACGACGTGTGATGCTTGCGCTCTCGGGCCGACGAGTTGAACTGATAAATTGTTAACCTTGTGGTTTTTGGCCCCTCTCGCGAGCAGGACTCTGTATATAGATATCCTATAAGCTTAATACGTCCCCATACCCTTCGGAAGGTCTTTAGGGTCATAGGCAGTAACTAAGGTTGATCTATGCCCGCTGGACGTATATATCAATCAATCAATGAATGAATGAATGAATGAATGAATGAATCAATCAATCAATCAATCAATCAATCAATCAATTAATCGCTGAAGCTTTGGCTGATGACATACTGTCTTATTGACAATTGCATGTACAAGACAGTATTTGGCATGTAATTAGGCTTCAAAATATGAGGGTAAAGTTGATATAGATTGAGATGTCTGAAGTACAAGAAGTGCAGTTCAGCGGAGGGTTTATATGCCTCCGCAGCTGAGCTAACTAGAAGGGGAGAATCACGTGTATAGCAACTGACACTTATCAAGTAGATCCGGGTTTTTTCGCCCAGATAGGGCATAATTAATTCCCTTCAAAGACGCCTGAGAAAAATCATAGCCTAGATGTTTGGAGTAAATCAAAGGGATGGGGAAACCGCAGAGAGGATTCGCTTCGATGATATCCATGTTGAAAGGTGACTTTGCAATGCAGAGCAAAGTAAGTCAGGAGTGACAGCTTTTTGCCAATTCCAGATGAATTTAACTTCGAGATGTGAAATTCCTCTGATCGAGAAAACTTGCCTCCCCTATGTTGCCGCTGCCTAATTGTTGTACACTCCAGCAAAACCATCAGGTAGATGGTGGATCACTGCTGGTGGTGGTGGATGGTTCGCATGCTGACTAATGCTAGCATCGCAAGAACCTCACTCCCCATCCCCTTCTCTATCACTGTTGCGAAATCCAAACCCCCGAGGAAATCACCCTTTTCTAAGTAAATGAAATCGACAGCAAACACAGATCTTGAACTTGGAGTCATCTCAGCCAGCTCAACCTTACGAGGCTCCCCTCCTGTGCAGCCTTCACCGAGCAAGACCAAGACGCAGCCGTCTACCGCAAATTCGAATATCTCAGTGCTCGCAATCTTTTATGCCAACAGAGCGAGTTGCATACACTCCACTTGCAACTGCAAGAGCTGGACAAAACCCACGCAACGCACAATGAAAACGAAAGCGGCGCGAGACCGGTCAAATTATTGCAACCCCACGAATCTCCAAGCGAGCGAGCATCAGGGCTTTACAGGAGACAACCAAGCGGAAGAGTTAAAGCATACCGCACGTGAAGAACCTCCCAATCCGCCAATCTCATAACTAGAGTGAAGCTGATTTCCTTCATTTAGACGAGACGCTTCTCCTAGAGAGCCAAGTGCTGGCCCTTCGAGAATCGGCTTCCCGAACTCTACGTGGCTTCAAACGCTGGTTCGCATCCGCTGGTACCTCTAAGAGGGCAATATCCGTGTCCTGTGGGGAAAAGATTAATGCCTTTTCAACGATGAGCATGATCTCGTCACATCGGCACCTGTCGAGACTGATCGCCTGAATGTAATCTTGAGAGGGTTCGATTAGTTCATGAAGATTTATCTAAATCATTCTATAGAAACGATTTTGAAGGACGCGAGGTTGATATAAGCTTCATAGTCGTCGGCACTAAAATTTCTAGCCTTGGAGATCCAGCCACATCGACTCGAGTAATGACCTATGTTCTTTCCCGAACATCGGATACAATTCGCCGGGGCAGTGATAACCGCTATTTTCAATGCTTTATCACTGATTGGCGCAATTGCAGCCCTCACAGCAGGCCAAAAAGTCCAGCAAAAGTGTGCAGAAAGGGGTGATAATTGTTCAAGTTGATATATGCGGCGACTGTGAGCCTTTTGATGAATGCGAGGAGGGCAGAGATTTTTGGATCTACGGCTGCATATGCCGCCGTCCTGGTTCTTTTCGTGAGCAATCCATTATAGGCATCTGGCGTAAATGGACTATTGAAAGGCGCTGGATTCAACCCGAGACGAAAATTCGACGACCTACCCAAAAATACTCAATGTTCGGAAAGAACAATGTACTTGAAGGGCGAGACACCAGATAGAGTGATTAAGACACGAGCTAGAGACTGGTTTCATCTCGAGACTTTGGATGACAAGTCGATGTGCAGCAAATGGCTGACTTCAGGAATTCACGCTCCAAGGACAACCTTAATGTATTGGAACTTTTTGAACATTGAGGGCTGGGCAACAGTTGTCATAGGAGAATATTTTACTTGGAGGCTTTCCGTCTGATGGCCGCTTTTGACTTGCAACAGAATGATTTGCTTAAATCGATATGACCGCTAACTTCGGACCTGCCAACTGGGTATCAGGACGGGTTGCAGGATAATTGCCGGCTTGGCAGCTAGCACGAGTTGGACGAACCCCCAGCAGTTAAATGGCCAGCACTTTGGCCTACTATCTGGAGAGTTCTCCGCTGCTGGAAAGGGATCAAGACCCTTTTTATTGTCTTCAAGACACAACTCCCTCCTCCCTCCTCTCTCCCACCACCGTCTTCTCCGCAGCCTCCGCTTTCACTCGTTGTTTCCTCGCCCGCCGGATCTTGATCTCGACCTCTTTCATCTCTGCATCTATCGATGCAAGCTTCGGTATAACCTCTTCAACCATCTTGATAGCCCCTCCTTGAGCCAGCCTCAACGCCTGTGGTGTCAGGATGCCGAACATGCGGACCGGGTCCTTTGACTTGGTTGTCTTCTTCTCCCTTTCCGCATCCCCATTCTGCTCGTCCTCCTCTCCTACAGTCTTCGTATCTCCATCTGGAATCTCGTCCGCTGCAGATATTCCCGTCTTCTGTGGACCTGCATTGTCTTTGTGCGTGCCCTCGGAAGCAGCCGACCCATCCTTGCCCAGTGTTGAGAGCTCAACGACTGAGAATGCGGTGCCTTCGGGTCCGCTGGTCACACGGCATCCTCGTGCAGCCTGCATGCGCTGATCGTAGCAGTCCTGTCCATACCGTACACCCCTCTGCGCATCGAAGTTTGCTCGCGCGATGTTCTGCTGGATCTACGAGACTCTCGTATCAGCCATAAGGCCAGTGTGATATAGTTGGGGCAGAGGAACCAACCGAAGCTTGCACAGTAGACAGAGAGCTACGTAATGTGTCGTATTGGTGCAGCAGCTGAAGGTAGTGTTCTAATAGGTGGTCGATCTCCTCGGAGAGGAGCCGGATACGAGTGGCATCGATTGGAGAAGAGGCCATGATGAGCGCGGGAGGGCGAGGGGAAATAAGAGAGGGGATTAGGGGATTGGGGGATTGGGGGATTGGGGGATTGGGGGTTGTGGAGGAGTTTAATGGCTGCAGCTGGGCACGGCGTAATTTGGCGACGGCTGCGATGGCTGCGATGGCTGCGAGGGCTGCGATGGCTGCGATTTGATTGTTCCCAATGACTCGACACGCTGCGTTATCCCACGCGACGCGATGCGCTGCTGTCGTGTGAAGGAGCAGAAAGAGGGTGGGAAGAGACGCGTTGGTGCAAGCAAGACTGGGATCCCCTGGCCAGCCAGAAAGGGGAGCAGGGCGCGATATCAGGAACTGCCACTGCCTCCCAATGCCCATGACTGTATTATCCCCTTCTTGCTTCACGCTTCACGCTTCACGCTTCACGCCTCACGCCTCACGCCTCACGCCTCACGCCTCACGCTTAACAATCCCAGGATTTCGATCATTTCTCCACGGGACATTTTTGTATTTCATTTTTGTATTTAGATTACCAATAATCGATACGACAGAAACGTCGTTTTCGCTGGCTGCAGCCTGCAGCCCGCAGCCCGGTGGCCTCGCACGTTCGCTGTCTGCACTCTGCACAACGGGCTGTTCCGTCCGTGGCCAGAAAACAAACCGAGAGGGCATCCCTCAGCCCTTCATTCGGTCGATGTTTCACCACTACTGCTGCTGCCTCGATTCTCAGTCCTCCATCTCAGTCCCCATCGAGGATTGTGCCCTCCCTCGTATCCTCGCCGTCTTTGAATCACCAAGTGTCTGATCCCATCGTCCACCACGTCCATCCGCACCGCACCGGAACACCAGCAGCAACCAGCCGGGCACCACTGCACCCACTGCCCACCGCCCACCGCCCACTGCCCACCGCCCCTCCGCCCCTAACTGGATCTTCTGCCATCCCCCCCCGTATCCTTGCGACAATCCTCTCGATCTTCCGTCGTCATCTCCTTGCTCTTGCATCCATCCATCCATCCATCCATCCCTCCATCGTTCGCCCCCTATCTGACCCAGTCCAGTCCAGCCCAGCTCACCCCAGCCGTCGGTCGGTCGCAGCTCACCGCAATAAAATAAATTCACTGACCCAACACCTCCAATTTTAATCGCCGCCTTCGTGCAGGATTAGCCGCATATCGATCGAAGCGAACCGAACCGAATTTGGGCCAGCAGAGCAAGTGTAAGCTTTATCGGCACCGGCTCAGGCTCGATTCAGTCGGTCAGTCAGTACCTGACCTCTGCAGTCCTTCGCAGCGACCTCTCCTACCATACCGCAAAACCCAGAACCTCACAGAGAACATTCCAACGTCATATCTTGTCCAGGTCCAGTTCCAGGTCCACCCCGCCGCCTCATCCCCACGAGTACGAGCACAAGTCAAACCTTCGCAGGCTCCCAGACCGAGCGTCGCGAGGATACAGAGGAGGCCGGCTGACGCGCAGTCGTGTTTGAGGTTGCTGAAGTGCCCGACGACCCAGCAGTGGAATAATGGTCGTCGCAACGATAAAGTGCGTATCTCTACATGATCACCCCCGGATCTGCAGCTGCTTGAACGTGTGCTGGGCGAGGTTACGTTAAGATTGGGGAGCTGGATTGCAGGATCGGGGGAGAGACTTGAGGATGATGGCTAATGATATGCGTTTGCAGATGTGTGGTCGTCGGTGACGGTGCTGTGGGCAAGACTTGTCTTCTGATCAGCTACACGACAAACAAGTTCCCCTCCGAATATGTGCCTACTGTCTTTGATAACTATGCCGTTACCGTTATGTGAGTGCCCCTCCATATCCCCCCCCAATCGAGTTCACAGTATGAAACAACGTCATTCTCTATCTAGAACAACAAATTCCTAACATTCATTCACAGGATTGGCGATGAGCCATACACTCTAGGCCTCTTCGACACCGCAGGACAAGAAGATTACGACCGTCTGCGTCCGCTCTCGTATCCACAAACCGATGTCTTCCTAGTCTGCTTCTCCGTCACCTCGCCCGCGTCCTTCGAAAACGTCCGAGAGAAATGGTTCCCTGAAGTCCATCACCACTGCCCCGGTGTCCCCTGCCTGATTGTCGGCACACAGACCGATTTAAGAGATGACCCCAGTGTAAGGGAGAAGTTGGGGAAGCAGAAGATGAGTCCAGTGCGGAAGGAGGATGGCGAGAGGATGGCAAAGGAGTTAGGGGCTGTGAAGTATGTGGAGTGCAGTGCTTTGACGCAGTATAAGTTGAAGGATGTGTTTGACGAGGTATATCCCCACTTCTTGATCCCAACTCCACTTGCCCCCAAAAGTTCAAAAATCTAACATAAATGGAATAGGCAATCGTGGCAGCACTCGAACCCCCGGCGCCAAAGAAGAAGCACCGGAATTGCCTGATTCTTTAACATTTCGGCCCCATTTAAACGTTCCCCCTTCGCCACATCCCGTTTCACCATTCGATCCCCATATCCACATCACACCAGAATTGAGAGTACAGCGAGAATCGCCAAGCAGACGAGGAGCGAGGGATTTAGCCTTTGTCTGGAGCAGAGGTTGATGGGAGGAGTTATACAATTCAGTTCTGGCACCCTTTCCGCGACGTCGAGTTTTCTTTCCGTCACATGCATTGGCGCTAGTCAGAGCACAGGGTAGGCAGGCAGGCAGGCATGCTGTTGAGCGTTGAATTTGAGGGAGGCTTGGTATTGGGGGTGGAAAGCAGGAAGCGAAGAGAGCAAAGAGAGAAAGAATTGACAAAATTTGTTTCTTGAACAGTGTTTTCTGTGGTGTTTATTGGTGTCTGGTGTACTTCCTGTGCAGAATATAAAGATTTCATACTCGCCCCCCCGGATCCACTCTAAGAAGTTATGTCATTGGATGAAAGCGAGTCTACAATCCTCCGATGTCCACGATGATCCAGATGGGATATTTTAGGGTTAACAGAAGGTTTCACGGTGATCTTGGTGCTCGAGATGTTGAAATTGAGACGGTTGCATTTTTGGCAGCTGCCCTAGGCCTCATCCAAACCACCAGTATGATCTGGTGTTCTCCTTGCGGACCTCAGCCGCATCCGGCTTCACGCCTTTTCGAACACTCCGAGTTCCCTCTATCCCGGGCGCACAATCTACCAAGCCTGCAACAAGACGGTCTATACATCACGGACCCAATCACAGTCAGCTTGAGCGTTTACTCGGTTCCAGGTCAGAAGACTTGCGCAGAGCTCGCACAAAGACTTATGTAACGTCTATGGGTAGAGCGGAGATAGCGAACCGCTGAGACAAGCCGTCAAGCAAATGAAGCTCAACTGGGAAGGGGTGAACATCAACTTCCGACGGTCGCAGATCCAGGTTCAGCCACCACCATTCAATTGGCTTTTCAAACCATCAACGCGTCCGTGATTACCATCGATCTCGTCTCTTATGCTTACATAACACCAGTTATATTAGCAGCAAGGACCCGGATGTTGTGATTGCGAGGCTGAATCCGAAACTTGATATGCTCATCGATACGATGACAGTGTTCAATCCATAGATTCCAAATCAACATGCAATTGGGATGTCGATTGAAGCGACAAGAGCCGGAGCTATATCTCCAATCTCATTGCGTCTCAAGGAGGTTGTCTCCAGCGCCAGCATCATCTTCGACACTGACCAAGCCGCCAAGGACGGCGGCTTAACTCAATTGCGAGTATAAGATCTGATGTTTTCGAACGCAGGGATCCTCCACTTAGTCCTCTTGCCACAATCAAAAGTGGGAACCTCAGCACATTTTTCGAAGAGGAAGATGCAACTGGAGTCACTATAGCCACGAATAGGTGGTGTTTCTCGGCTCCTCGTCGTGCTGCTGCTTGAGGGAATGAGGAGATGGTGCGGCTGCTGGTCAAGAACGGCGCGGGCTTAGAGATGCCAACACAGGAACACAGGACGCCTTTGATGCTTGCTCCGGACGGAGAGCACATGCCCGTGCTTTATGTTCTTTAATGGAAAGGAGCAAAGATCAACGCAGAGTCAGGGCGGGCTGGGATCACAGCGCTGTCGGAAGCAGTCGAGACTTCTGAGAACAGCTGTCACTATCTAATGCGAGTTCTCCAGGAACTCGGTGCCCCTGTGGACGCGGTCCACACCTATAGCAATACGGCTCTGAAGGCAGCTGCTCACAATGGCCACCTGGAGGCGGCGCGAGCGTCGAAGAACATCCCAAAGGGAAGGGAAAGTCCGCGGTGGCTAAGGCCATCAAGTATAAACATTGGGACGTCGCTCTGCTCTTGATAAGTCGAGGAGCAAAACCAGGGGTGGATTATGAGGTGTTTCAATAAGCACAAAGGAAAGTGCCGCAGCTCGATTTAGTAGGGAACGTATCGTGGATACGAAGTGGTCGGCTATCAGAATTCTGAATCCTTAGGAAGGACTCGCTTTTCAACAGATTCACGGCCGAGGGACTGATCGAAACTAATGTGTAATATCCGATCGTCACTTCCGACAGCGCGTGCCACAAGCCGTTCATTATTTTCTACGAGAAACTTCCGGAAAGGGAGTGTGTCTTGAGAGAAAATTGTTGAGAGGAAGTAGCTCACGTGAGAAATGGCTTGGAGCGGAAGCAAGCTTTTTGGGGGCAATTTCCCAAAAGAGGAAATCCAGCATTGGGTCTGAGCGAGCTGGCAAAAGGTACATCAACGCTAAGACTCCCATCAACTCTGAAGTTGCCATCCTGTTCGCGTCACGTTGTTCGTATCGTGTGGCAGCCCAGCCAATGGAATTAGCTAAACGCATCAACTCGGACACGACGAGTTCGGAATTCAAGCAAGTGATGTTTCTCACCTGTCCATTTATTCTCCAGATCAGACTGGGAATGCAAGGCTCTCCGCCAGCCTTGTCGGATGCAGATTCCTCTTTCATCAGAGTGTGCTGATGGCAAACTGTTACGAAATGCTTCAAGAGTGGGAGGGTCCCGACTGTGCTTGATAACGAAACGAACACCTTGTGTGGAGCGATAACGTAATAGACCAGTGCAACCACACTTTCCTCACCCTTCTATAAAAATAAACATTTCACCTTTTAACGTTGAGGGGGAAAAGGGGGATAAACGGCTTTGAGAAGATAATTTTGCAGAGCAAAAAAATGAGACTTTCGAGTTTTACGGCCCTGGTGCTGTTGATGGCGGGATACGGGGTAGCGGGGCATCAGCATGGACACCATGGCGGTGCGGATGGGGGGAAACATGTTCCGTTGCATGAACGGGAATATATCCAGGATCCGGTGGAAGAGCTGGAGAGGAAGTGGAGCTTTGAGGTGCGTTGTGTGTTTTCCGCATGCTTTCTTTGCGGTTTCTTTTCTGGGAACTGCGGATTGGGTGATGTTAAGTGATTTTCTAGAGAGTAGGGAGTGCCTTTTTTTTTCTTCTTACAAATTGCCTTTTTGGAAAGTTTCTTGCTCCGTCGACTTCTTTTCAATATACCTTGTGCCATTGTGCGTCGAGTTTTGGGGTTAGGAGTGTTGGAAAACGAGCTCGAGCTAATGTCACCCGGGACCTTAGTGGGGATTCTCCGGAGTAAACTCCTTCGCACACCTCGAGCACGTAAAATGCCTCACAAAACCAGACAGCACATTCGATATCGGCATAATCGGCGTTCCATTCGACACTGCCGTGAGCTACAGACCGGGTACGTTACCTTCCGTTCCTCCATTCCTTCAATTATCACGTGATATACCCCTTTCCCCCTTTTCACATACCTCAACAGGGCTTCTTATTAACATTGCTAGGCGCTCGTTTCGGCCCCCGTGCAATCCGCGCTGCTTCTGCGCGTCAAAATTCTTTCCGCGGCTTCAACGCCAGAGCAGGAATAAACCCCTACCTCTCCTGGGCCAAGATCCTCGACTGTGGTGACGTTCCCGTAACACCGTTTGACAACTTCGTTGCGCTTGAACAGATGACTTCCTCATATCTCGAGCTCGGACACCGCTCTCCCCTCTCTTCCCTATCCTCCCGGCCAAAGTTAATAAGTCTTGGAGGAGATCATAGTATTGCGTTGGCGGCATTAAGAGGGTTACATAAAGTGTATGGAGGACCGATAGCGGTGCTGCATTTCGATGCCCATCTTGATACCTGGCATCCGGCGAAATATCCGAGCCCGTGGCCGAGTGAGCAGGCGCAGTTTAACCACGGCTCTATGTTCTGGATGGCGAGTAACGAGGGACTGATCTTGAATGGTTCGTCTGTGCATGCTGGGCTGAGGACGCGGCTGTCAGGGGTTGATTGGGCGGATTATGAAGACGATGATTCCCAAGGTTTCTTGAGGATTTCAAGTGATGATATTGATGATATTGGTCCGAAAGGCGTCATTGATGCCATCATGTCCCGGATGGGGACCGAGGTCCCCGTCTACCTATCCCTCGATATCGACGTCCTCGACCCCGGCCTTGCTCCGGGAACCGGCACGCCTGAAGCGGGGGGCTGGACGAGCAGAGAACTCATCAGGATACTGAGAGGTATTGAGGGGTTGAATCTAGTGGGAGCGGATATTGTCGAGGTTGCGCCGGCGTATGATGGCGTCGGTGAGCAGACCGCGCTGGCGGGAGCGCAGGTTGCGTATGAGATTTTGACGAGTATGGTTAAGAGGGGATTGAAGGATATGGGGAAGGTTGCGGAGGTGCCCGGTGGGAAAGGGGAGGGGAACAAAGACGAGTTGTAGGTTTGGGGGTTATGATAGGAATTGACAGGAAGGTTTGATACAAGGGGAATCGCACTGTTGAAGAGCAGGATGGCAGGTATAAAAGACCGAGTCATTTTCATTCTAGGGCTGTAATACATTGCCACGTTCGACCACTTTCAGTCCTCTTTCCTTGGGTAATTTGCACAGATAGCAGGCCGCTCGACCAGACTCCTCATCTCCTCGTGAAATGAGACCTTCCCACTTACCTCCTTCAACTCAACCATGATACATGTTTCCTCGCAATCACTCTTCACAACATCCACGGTCGCTACCTTATCATCATCTCTTTCATCGAGATTTCTTAACACCACTTCGTTCAAGTTCTTCAACTCCCCCCTTTTCCTGCCATCTGAAACCTGGCAAACAATATCCTCGCTTGCTCTTCCCGCAAATGGCTCAGTGCCAGCTGCACAAACGATTAGCTCAATACAATAAGGGTAGACAGTAGTACGAACGGCCCTCACCCTTTTGATTGTCGAAGGAAGGATCCCGGCCAGAGATTTCGCGTCCTGCGCGACAGCCTTCCCTTCCTCTCCATTACACAGAAATCCACTTTCCATCTCCAAACCCCCCACCTCGCAATCGCCCTGACATCAACCACCTCCTTCCACTTCTCCACAATCTCCCAATTGGACCTAACAACAAAGCCAATTCCTCCAACGTCTCTTTGGCATACAGTTTCAACGTGTTGGCAATGCAGTCAGGGAAGAAGCATTCAATATAGGCATTGTCCCCATCAGCCTCGTACCAAAGGCTCCTGAGCATCGTAAACTTCCCCCATTCGAGCAAGTACGGGATAGCCGCAGGCCCTTGTTCGATGTAGCTTTCCCACCGTGCGTCGAAGCAGGCGAGGTTATCGGGAGTGTGACTGAACTGAAATTTGGCGGAGCCCAGTGCGTCCATGCCAATCCATATAAATCCGCTTGCCAGAGTGAGCCAAAGGAAGTATGGGTTGTACTGGTATCAGATTCATTGATACACGCCATGCCCTGCCAATTGCACACTACTTTGCCGGTATGAGCAGGGTCGAGACTCGGTAGGGGATGCCAGATAGAGGCGATAGTGTCGATCGTGACGCTGCCGAATGTTGCCGGGTCAAGCTCCTGCTGAGCGAAGTTGCAAGGCTGGTTTCCGCAATCATCATAAAGCCATTCCCTCACCTGCTGCCCCTCCACGGCCAACGAAAGTAACGTTTCAGAACTACCATGTTTTGAAAGGGGAGTCCAAAACGGAATCCAAGATCCTTATTCGTTCCTATCTCACAAGGGATTCTCAGAATAACTAAGAATCCCCAAATTCTTCTCATTCTCAATATATACTATAAGGCATATAAAATAATCACGCGCTTCTTAACTTATTATATTAAAAAGAATCCTTAAAATACAATTTTAATTTAAAGGAGTTTATATATTAATTAATTAAGTTCTAGTTTTTAAGCCTTATAAAGCTAATAAATTAAGGGCTTATAATACTCTTATATTTATTTTAAATACTAAATTATTAAATTTCTAAATTTCTAAGATTTCTTAAAATTACCTTTAAATTATAAAATATTGCCTTTTAACTTCTTTAATTTAAAGAATTATTACTAATTAATATTTCATAAAGAAAGTTTGTATTGAATATCTCTTAATTAGCCTTATAATAAATAAATAAAAATATTAAGTTTTATTAATTTCTTAAAAAGCAAATTAAGTTTAAAGAAAGAGTATAATTTTTAGTATTTTTATCCGAGCGCCTTTACTTTAGGTTAGTAGATGAGTCTAGCCCCTAATCGACACCCTTAATCCATACCAGGGAGGGTGTCGTTTTACTTTTTCCTAGCAAAAATACGATTTCTGTGATGGCGTTGGCTAGGGTCACGTGGGTTTAGCTGTCACCTGACTGGTTTCACCTGTCAAGCCGGCGTTTCAGTCGTTTTAGCTAGTACTTCTTCTCGTTTCTCTTCTCTCTCTCTCTCTCCTTCTTCTCCTTAGCTTAGTATTCTCAATACATGGGATTCTCGGAACTTTCGGAACTTTGAGCCCTTTTGACCATTGCCTTGAGCCCGCCGTCACAATTTCACAGCCTCGAGCCTGACCCAGCCTATCGATTTTTGAGCCCTGCACAGGCTTTTACTTATTTTCTTAATAAATTTATTACCACGTATTTAAACCAAGTCTTATATAACTTAAATAGATTATATAAGTGCCTCCTTATTCCCTATTAAAGAAGGTGTCTTTTAATAAAGAATTCGTAGTATAGCTAGTGGGTTATTAAGATTTTATACTCAAATCTATTATAATTTAAGCTTAAATCCCTCCTCTCTATATATAGAATTAATACTTCTCTATCTTTTGAGTCCTTATTAGGGAGAGAAGCCCTAATTGACCCTATTAATTTGAGCCTATAAAAGCTTAATTAAGGCTACTTCTATAAAGAGGTCATAGAAATTGGCTACCTAGTTTTGGTGTTCTGAGCCTTTTGCGCTCTCGCATAAAAATGTGATTCTGTTGATTGCTTTGCATATGGCTCGAAACCTGAGGACGCAACGTACCTAAGCGAAGTTTTCTTTTGTTAGATCTCATACATAAACTCACTACTTCATCCCAATCACCAAAGTCCTGCCTATCGTGAACCTTACACTCCAGATAAGGAGAAAGCCACCAAAAGATGCTACATGTTCGTTGCTCTTACCGTTGCGGGGAAGTAGCTCCGAGAAACGAGTTGGAAATGCCACTGTGCTGTGGCTTGCATATGGTGGCGCATTGTTTCCAAAATTGTCAAACTGCACCTTTGCCAACAAATATAAGTGGCCCGCTTGTTGGAAGTCTTCGTTCCAACAAACCCTCCAAATTGCAGCCTCGCCACTTGCAGAAAAGCTGCTATATTGAAAAATTCTCACCTTCTATTCTCAATGCTTCTGCCTGTTATTCTTTCACTCGGGCACATCCTCACGCACGGTGGAGGAAGATACACTTCAATCCAGGCCGTAATTCCTTGAGTACTGTACAATGTCCAACGGGTTGATAGATATTGCCTTGCCCGATCAGACCGATCGGAAAATGCCAGGCTCAACTCGAGCCCAGGCGCCAGCCAAAACTTCCCGTTTGATTCGAAACAACCAGAAATGGGATTCCCTCAAAGACCGAATCTATTACATCTACATGGCTGAAGACTGCACACTACAAGACACGATGCTTGCTATCGCAGAGCGGTATGGCCTCAAAGCAAGGTATGTCAGTTCCACATATCGTCTATATAGTGTTAACATTTGAATACAGCGAGCGGAAGTGGAAGGAAAAGTTGAAAGAGTGGAGATTTGAAAAGAATATTTCGGCGACTGACATGGATATTATTGTTGCAAAGGCAGAGAAACGAGTACGCGAGGAGGGAAAGGAGACCGTTTTCTTCCACGGTCAATCTGAGATCACACAAGAGAGAATTGAGCAATTTAAGAGAAGGAAGACTACCAAGGCGGTTGACGAGGTGCTTCCAAACGTAGGTACGTAAATAGCTCTAAAGATTGGAGGTTGCGCTGACTTTGTATGCAAGAAACGCCCAAGAACATCATATATCATACGCCTCGCCCGAACTCGGCAGGAAATTTGCCAATTGAATCTCTAGAACAGGGTTGCCAACCAATAGAGGCAGCCGAACCCGTGTCTTCAGGCTGCTTGTTTCCCCAGATGGAGGAGCCACTCACCACCACGGAATATGAAGGGAGATCGGAGTCATCGGCTGTTTTTGGGACGTGCTCGGTAGAGGATTCGAATGCGGACAAAACTTCCAAGGAGATGTCGAGCCAAGCTAATCGTTCGATTAACACTGTTGATCGTGGTTCCGCTCACGTACCTTATGAGGATGCTCTTAGCGCAAATCAATCTCCTTCCGAACTCGAATCAGCAGACCATAGTCCATCCAGGGGCAGTGTCTGCATCTCAGAGATGGGCTGGGCCTCGGACAGCTCTTCTTCGGACGTTACACACCGAGACAAACAACTCGACAGTCTTTCAGCTGACCTCTTGACAAACCTTTCCCGCCAAGTAATCACAATACGCCGAGGAAGAGAGATTTCTAAGGAAGTGACAAGGATCGATGAAAGTGTCCAGAAAATCCCCGCAGAAAATCCCGAATACCGCGCCAACCCGCACCGTCACCCACAAACTGGGAAAGACGCCGAATCGGTACAAGGATCCGCTTGTAGTAGTCAGTCTGGCTATTCTACTTCGCGGAATGGTACTTCCTCCATATCTGAACACGACTCCCAAACCTCAGTCAGCTCAGGGATAAGTAGGCCTGCTTCCGAAGCCGCGGTCAAGGAAGCCCTTGCGCTCCGAGCAAAAGGCAAGTCTATTGACTCAATCCTCTTGGATCTAGGATGTGGATCCAATGATGTTTGCTCGAAATTCTGTCGGAATCTCTGGAAGTTGTGTTTTTCGTTCGAAAAGAAAAACCTTCTAGAAGAGGCTTCAATTGCACTTGACCTCATTCAAGTGGGCTACACTCGATTATTCGGCTCTCCTAGTATAGAGACAATGCACTGCATGGTTTCTCAAGCTCGAATTTTAAGAAAGCGGAAAGAATACAAAGATTCAGAATCAGCTTATCGTCAAGCAATCAATGGTCTCAGGAATTTGGAAGAGACTAAATCCCAACTCATATGTCAACTTTTCCTTGCCGACTTCCTTAAGAGTCTGGACAAATTATCCGAGGCCCTTTATCTTCTTCTCGAAACACTCATCGAACACTTTAATCCTCGCACGGCATCGATCGAGACGAAAGTCCCAGAAGTCATGGGTTGTATGCAGAGGCTGCATCTGAAGATGGACGTTGACCAGAACATGGTCAACGTAATGGCCAGTGTCACTCAATTGCAAGAACTTCAGTCAGAGTGGCCCGAGCCGTACCATGAGTTCAACGTTTGGGTGGGATTTGTACGTCTTGGTGGCCGCTATTCCGAAGTAGGGAAATTTGATATGGCAGAGCTATGCTTCTCATATATACGAGCAGCCGGTTATGAAGGAACGAATCCATTCTTGAAAATCGAACTAGCCCGTTTTCACAAAGAGCGTTCTTTACATTACCGCCGACAATCACGCGTGGTGGACAGCATTATACAACTGAAGATCGCTTTCAAACATCTCTTATCTGTGGAGCCACCAGACAAGTACGATCAAGCCTTGGCTATCGAGTTGGAGCAGTTGTTGGGAGAATTTAAGTCACAAGAAATGCAGCCTGTTGGGAACTCCTCTCTTGAGACAGCTTGGGAGCAAATCCGGGACACGTTTCGAATTTTCGTTGCTCATCGGCGAACCAAAGAGCTCAAAGAGCTCAAAGAGCGTGAGATAATGCAACGTGAAGAATCCAGAAGCCCTTCGAGTGGCTCACCTATAGTTTCCAGTAGTAGCGGGAGTTCAAGGTTCGGCGTTACGTATTCCGGGGGCTCGGAATCCTCTATTGTCAGCAATTCTGCTTTAGTAGTCTCTCCATAAGTCGATGTGTACAAATACACTACTCTATCCTATTCGTTAAACTATCCTATAATTCCTTTTCCCACCCGAATCGTGCCTCCCTAAATATCTCCCCGGTAGCCGGTATCTCCATTACCCTTTAATAATAACGTCCTTATCCCTTCGTCCGGTGAGACATTGCCACATTAGCGGCCGCACATGAATATCCCTGATTCGGATTATGTTCTGGCTGAATTAGAGATATTCATGTGCGGCCGCTAATGTGGCAATGTCTCACCGGACGAAGGGATAATAATCTTATCTAGCATTATGGTCTAAGAGTAATAAATATAACTCGTGGCATACCGCAGAAACTTGATGCTTGGAACTCTGTTTCTGAGGGATCGAGATCCAAAATAGACGATAGGGAAACTGTAAACCGATTCTGAATGGGGACCAGAAGGGGATCCTCTTTGCAAGCTCTAGCTGATTCATAAGCAGCTAGAGGAGCCTCTGCTCAGGTCTAAAGACAGAAATGGAAACGTTCATGTTGGCATTTCGGTCTGGGACTACTTTATAAGGGTAGGAGAGGGGAGGTGTGAGGGGGGAGCAGGGGAGGGGAGGCGGGGGCGAGAGGACCCTACTAAAAATCTATGCCGCACCCTACGAAAAAGTTGAGTACTAATTTTTTAGTACCTTTAGCCTATACGTTGGCGACTATTGCCCTAAAATTTTCCGATGAGAAGCCTATAATTGTAGGGCTTCCTTTTCCTCGCAACTCACGTGTCTCAAAACTTACCTCTCACTTTTAACTTTTAACTTTTAACTTGCTCGCCCTCCCCGCCAATATCCCTCCTCTCTTACCCCTATATTTATATATATATATACAAATAAGAAGAGTAAATATTTTAAGTAGTAGTAGAGGCTTATGGAGAGGGGGGGTGGGTAGCATATAAGTGCGGGCGATTTTGGTGGGGTGAATCGTGATTTAGCGTTTTGTGTTTCTCGCTTGGACGAGACGTTCTTGCTGCTTTCCGTAGGTAAGGCAGCTTAGGCAAGTACTGCTGGCAGACTTATATTGAAACTAGATTCAATGAATGTGATTAATTACGCAACGGCGACGTAAGGACCATACACTGGAGGAAAAATTGCTGGGGTCCAAATCTGTGCTATTTACTTCAGCGTCACCTGGGGTCTCAGAAAACCTTTAGCTTTGCTGTTTACTGTGATACGAAGATGCTCAAGAAAGACTCTGGGGAATTGTATTACTAAACTAGTTGGCAAAGACTTACCTGCAGAGATTAATCTGCAAGGACTGATTTGCAGGGCAATGCCGCTGCTCTGGGCACCTGACTGCTGGAAACGAGCACGCCTGCCCCTGACGCTTAGGCGAGCCCCTTTACTGAGCCTTCCTGCGAAAGTTCGCAGGGACAACGTGAGAAGCCCAGTGATCGCTTACACATCCCGCGAGAACACGCATAATGATTAATGCTGCGCCTACACAGTCCGCTGCGAAGCCTCGCGGCGAGAATGCGGACGCTCGTTGCTCTGGACCCAGGTACTTAAAATGACTTGATATCCTCGGTAGACCTGAATTCTCTATTTCAACCCCCTCAGTACTTTTAAATCCCGTTAAACTCCTCGTATTTAAGTTACCAGAAGCATCGCTTCATCTAAATCGTGACTCCAACAATAAGACTATTTCAACCACTGCGCGAAGATTGCCCGATGGCAGCGGAAGACAATGAACCCAGTACCCAGCCGCAACCATTTGATCCAGGTAAGAGATTATGATGGAAGTACTCGTACAGTTCTGATAGATCCTAGGATATGGACAGTAGGGCTGTATGAAATCGATCCAATCTTAAGTGAGAGCTTATACTGGGTGAGACAATGAAAATGCCCTGGTACGATGCGTGATCTCTTTTCCTCTAACAAAAATTGCCAGGTCGTCTCCCTTTCTGGGATATATACACATGGCCGTACGGGATATTCAAAACGAAATTCAGGCCTCTTGTTTGGAGCAAGACTAGCTTGCGAAACATATAGAATCATCAAACAATACATTCAATCTTCATAGAACGGCTTTTGGAGTCCTTTATTCCTATCTCTGTGGTCTTTGAAAGGTGTGCCAGCTGTTGGTAACTCAATTTCCGACTCTAGTATAGCCGTCAAAGAGTCATTATTTGCGGCAGCGTCAGATGTGTCGTCTTCAGGAAGGAGGTTTTCATTTGGTATGCGTTGTTCAGAATCCAGAAGGGGAATCCCAAGCCCTGCACCGCTATCCTGTGAAATGGCTGCAATAGATTCGAAGTTTTGTAATTGGTCCCACTCCTCGCTCCATTCAATCTGCAATGGGAGGGTCTCATCCAGTTCGTAGCCAGGTGTTTCCGACTGAACTTGTGAGCTCACAGTAGATGGATCTCTTGGCCCAGCGGGAGTATCCAGTGAAGAGGACGCCATCGGTGTAGATAAGTCCTGCGGGGTTCCCCACTGAGTGGCTAAGCTATTTTGGGTGCTGGCTGATGGTGTAGAACTCTCCACCTGACTCCGAGGAGTCCATGGCTGGGAAGTAGCATCCTGGATACGGTAGCCCCTTAAGAGCCCCATTGGAGATTGACCCAAGGGATGTGGGCTGAGAGAAGTAGAGAGTAGCTGATTGGGGGAACCGGCGCTTCCTGGCGAGAAATCTTGAAGTCCTGATGAACCACTGTGGAAGTCCAAAGGAGGCAGAGGGCTAACAGCCATGGCTGTTTCTAACACTTGTCGGACGGCGAGACGATACCGCTCATGGACATAATCGTTGCGCTGTAGATTTCCTCTCTCGATATCGAGTTCTATGACCCCGTCAAGTGTATCGATCAGATTTGCCACATGTAATGTCAGGGGTGCCGTTTTAACTGGGCCAGTATCGCTCCCTACCAGAAGTCAGAACACATGCTGGAGATATTTCGGCTTAACTAACTTACATGGGTGTTTCGGTGGAGAAATATTAGGGAACAGTATAGTCCAAATTCCAAACCATTTCTCAATATCATGCTTTTCGTTCTCCGACTGGCTCGCTCCTCGTTTTCGGGAGAGAAGCCTTTCTATCATTTCCCACTGGCCATCATCGATTCCTTCTTTGAGCTCAATCCCCTTTTGAGCACACGGCGGCTCTGAGCGTCTGTGATCAGTGAGTTGAGTGACATCCTCGAAAATACAATAGCATCTATCACATTGCGGAGTTCTGTGAGACGATTTGAAATGGTCCCTAAAAGTGCGTGAGTTTAAACTCTGTGAGAAATTTAGTACATTTTTTGTAAGTCACGCACTTGATCCTTCGAACCTCATAAGGCCCAGGGCCCCCACAGGTTCGGTACTTGATATCTGTTGCAACTCCGTATTTTTCGGGATCCTTCCTGTAAAACGGGCAGGCAAACCCAAGAGGACGAGGTGAATCAGGGCCAAATCTTTTCCGAGGCCTTTTTGAGCCCCTGTTTCTCCTTGCCTCATCTTCTTCGTCGGGGTCTCTTATGTGCTTCCGGCGTTGCAGATCCGTGGGCTTTACAGTTCTCGAGACAGCGGGTGAGCTGCTACTGACAGCACCAGGAGATGTATTCCCGTCTTCTCCCGCCTGGGATGGAACGACTGTGACACCAATTTTTTTTGATGCGAAACGCCATTTGATGAGCGCATGTATTCGAGGTATCAAACGCGCGGCCAACTCCAGGTCATACCCTAAGACTGACAATAAGCGAGAATCTAGAAGGGCTGTTAGAGACTCTGACTCGCTCTCTATTAAAGCAACGTGATCGGTTTCTTCTAATGCTGATGTGGTGATATCGCTCCCTAAGTCGGTCATAGTCGGAGATGTCACCTCGGAATTTGCTGGGTCTGACGAGCAGAAGGATGTATCTGAAGGGTTCGGGGAAAGAGCAGGTGGTGACGTTGGAGGGGATATGTCTGAAAGCGCTATGGGCCTAACTTCGACAATCGAAGTTGGATAGCCCTGTCTGAAGAATTTTCAGTAACGGGAATTGAAAAGCCTCAGGCCTCTTTGCCATGGGGCGTACCCACGGTGAAAATATAGGTTCCAATTCGCTGGTATGCGGTACGTTGACTGCATTTTTAACGCCCCCTTCTTGTAAAAGAGTTAAACTATTTCGCTGATCAGGTCCATCTTTCACCTTCCGGTCCTGATGGAATGAAGAAATGGAGACTACTCACACCTGTTTCTCCGTAGGCACCTTCTGTAACAGTGCTAGAGATATTGTTGGCATCGATGGTGGTGAAGGGAGGAGAGAGAATCGCGAATCCCCGTGTTCTCTCCAAAGTTTTCTCGGCTTCTCTATCATTTTTCGCCCCAACATGGGCTCTGTAATACAAAACTCGCATCGGTAATGCTGGCACTCAGGGCACTGTAGATTATTGGCAAAAGTCATTCCGCCGGAACCCCCTGGGATGATGCCACAGTTGTCACAAAACCAGAGATAATGATCCATTTGCCCATACCTCTACCCAACGCGGGGAATTTGACGGGTTTCCACTCGGAATAGACAACGAGACAAAAAACTATATTCTGCGCGCACCAAAAATTAGTGATAACTCCCTTTAAAATAATACTTAGCTAGAAAGTCGAAAGATCAAGCGTTGGGAAAGGCGAGCCTACTCACCGTCACCTAGGCATCTCGTTCTCTGGAGGAGAGCATGAATGCTCTGTATAAAACCCGAGATATTGACTTGCACCAGGATTCAAAGAGATGCTCTGCACTGATATTGGAGAACAGAAGCGTGGGAGTGTTTGTTTGTAAGGTTAATAAGCCAGGCTGGGAAATTGATCACAAAAACTCCAGGAAATCCGTCTCCAAGAGGGGAATGCTCGATAGGAACAGAATATCTCAATTGATGCCGAAGTCTTCATGGATGGGGAACCACCGAAGGCGGCCAAATCTGGCGGTTGCCCGTTCCTGCGAAGGTTCGCACGACGGGGAAAAGCGATGCGCGTGAACATTGATCTAAGCGAGCAAATAGGGGGCGTTCGTGCGAGGTGGCGTCGAAATAGAAGTGTTAACCAATGAAGGGAACTTCTCGGATTATCCGCTCGTTACGGAGGACCCCGTTGCTGAGATCGCTCTTTGAAGAATCGCGACGACAGAAAAACAGCTTGGGTAGATTAGTGAATTAGTGAATGACATGTTGCTAGAAACGATCAAATATAGGATTGTTTGCATAGGGGATCTACCCGCACTAATCAGACTTGGTGAATGAGGATTCACAGAAGCTTTTGCTAAGTAATAGGTAATAGGGGGAAATGTAAAATGACTCCCCCGCCCCCCCCTGGGTGTCGATTGGGGCCCAGACTAGCCACTAACCCAAAGTAGAGGCGCTCGGACAGGAATACCAAAAACCTAGCTTCCCTTTAAATTTACTTTACTTTATAAGGAATTAATAGAATTTAATACCTTCTTTATTTTCTTATAATACTAATTTAATAGATATTTAAATATAAATTAGTAATAGTTCTTTAATTAAAGGTATTAAAAAGTTAATATTATTTAAAAGTAAGCTTAAGAAAGCTTATAAATTTAGTAAACAAGTCCCTGAAGCTAGATATAAGAGCCCTATAAGCCCGCAATTTATAGGGCCTTATAAGGCCTAAAAACTAGAACTTAATTAATTAGTATATAAATTCCTTTAAATTAAAATTCTATTTAAGAAACCCTTTTATTACGAGTTAAGAAATATAGAACTATTTTATAAGCCTTATAATATACTAGCTTATACTTATATAAAAATTCAAAAGGCTAGATCTTTAATAATTAACTAGTTCCTTTGTGTAATAAAAGAGAATAACTAACTCATATCTATTCAAATTGCGGCAAACTCTATTCTAGGTCTTTTACCGAGCAACTTTTGCCATCTATATAATCCCAGGCCATTAATCCTTAGAGGGCGTTCGGCCGCGCACCGCCCCTCGTAATGCCCTTTACCGCCCCGTACCGCCCCTTCAATATGGCGTTCGGCTATTCCCTATAGAGGGGCGGTATTCTAATTACTGCCCCTTATACCGCCCCTGCTACCGCCCCTCGTACCGCCCCTTCAGAACTCCCATATAAAACCGTACTGCCCCTATAATGCCCGTATAATCAGAAAAAACCTGATTATACGGGTCATAATACCCTTTACCGCCCCTTTTAGCGTTAATTACACGTGCTAGAGCTAAGTAATTACTATAGAATCACGCTAGTTCGTTGCTCTACAGGCGTGTTCTATATGGTATACGTGACTTGAGACCCTCCGGCTTCTTTATTTTTACCCTAAATCCTTTAATATTATAGACCCCGAATTAACTGCTCTCCTTATTAAAGCAGACGAGCTTAAAGACAAACTTAATAAAGCAGAAGAAAAGGCTTAGTAGCTAGCTTTAGCTTTAATTACCTCTTGACATGAACTTTCCTACTATTACGCTATACCATACTAAACTATACCTTATACTAGAGATACTTATATCCTAGAACTCCTGAAAACTCGTTAACCGCAATGCTATTAAGAGGTCTTGAGAATACTATATTAAACCTTTAGTAATCTGGTTGACTTTTTAAAGAAGCATATATCCTTAGAGTAAAGTAGGCATATTAGTTTAGAGGAGAAATTAATAATATTTCTCTCGATTATTAGATAGCTAATAGGAAATAGAAATATATAGGAGAAATATTAATACTCTAGTAATACTATTTCTAAATATAAGATATCTTATTATAATTAAATAGATATTAGCTAATTACTAGATACTTAGATACTTTAATAAAGTCCTTAATACCCTTGAAATATTATATATAAAATACGTTAACCTGCCTTATCCAAACTACCTTATAAATAAGATTAAGACAAATTAGAAGTTCTATCTATTTTTCCAAGATTATATTAGTACTTTAAATAATATATATATACTAGCATTTATTAGAACTAACTCTTAAGCGGTATATATAAATCGGAAGGGCCAAGTAATATAGAACGTCTTAGGAATATATACTTTTAATTTCTAGTTTTCTTTTATATATACCGGATAGGAAAGCTCTATAAATAATTAGGCAGTTATAAATAATATAATTAGTAAGGGCATATTTCTAGTTCTAGCTAGGAAATATTACCTCGCAGATACTAGATATATATATAGTAATATTACCTTATTACTATATAGAGGCTATAGATATTACTTAAAAGAGGAATAATAAGCTAAGGCTAAACCAAAGTATAAAGAGAAGTTATTTAACCTTTAATATATATAACTAAGAAACGAGATTAAGTATATATTTGAAGTTATTAAGAAATAATTTCCTATTCTTGGGAAAAAGTACAAATATAGAAACTTCTATAGGTAAAGATAGCTAGTCTATATACTAATAGGCCTTTATAATTTTATTTAATAAAATGCAATATGCCTTAATAAATTCAATATAGAAGATATAGAAAGAGAGGTAAAAGAGGCTCTATAAAACTCAAAGAAATTAAATAGAGCTTGTATTTCTACTTAGAGATAAAGGCATTAAATAGAGAACTTCCGGGATAATATTATAGGAGCTATATGAGATAATTATATTAAGTATCTGAAGTATAGAGAGAAGTAGGCTAGTAATAGGTATAGCTTATCTAGGTATTATGTTTTTAGCTTTAGGACATTTCTAATATATATATAGAACTTATATATATAAAAAGATATTATAAATATTGTTTTTAATTAGACAGATCTCCTGGAAAAGTTATAATTACTAAATAAATTAAGTATAACTATAAATAGATACTATTTCAGGCCTTTAGTATACTAGAAATCTTAATATTTATTTCATATGAAATTTCTTAGAAACTACTAATCCAAAGAAAATAATTTTTTATAATATTAAATACGCTTACTATTCTTTCTTTAAATTACTAATTAGTTTATGGTTTAGTAAATATTTCATTAGTTAATAAGTATCTACTTTACTAAATAGATTATAGGGTTACTAAAGCAAGGTAATTTAGAGTATTTTCGGTAGAAATAATTCCGAATTTAGTCTAGCTCGGCCTAAGCAAGCTACTTAGAGGCTATTTCGGGAGCGCCTAGTACTAGTCCGTATTCATAAAACCTTAATACCATATATAAATACTTTATAATAATCTATTTATAGTATTTCCCCTATTTCTAGATTTTATATCTTAACTACTATAATAATTTTTATAACTCCGGTTACATGTAAAGACGCACCGGAAGTTATAGATTATAATATATTAACCGGATTAATTCCGAAAAATAATAATATTATAAATAGATTTTCTAATATAGTATTACATTTAGCTATATTACTAGAATAACAAATTAAAAATTGAAATATAGACTTTTAAGGAAATATAGTAGCGCAAAATATAGCCTAAGATATACCTAATAATCTAATAAATAGTATATATTAATATTTATTTAAGAAAGTTCTTTAAAAAAAGAAAATACATATTTGCCTATATATATAAATTACTTATTATTTACTATATGGGCTGCGAAAATTAGTACTAAGTTAATTACTAAAATCCTCTATAGGCAAAATAAAGGAAAACCTATTACTTTCAAGAATAAAAGTACTAATTTCTTCTAATAATCTCTAAATAAATTAATTCTGGCAAGGCCCTAGTAATAGTATATAAAAATATTTTCCCTTTATTATTCCTAAAGTACTAAACGTAGTCTCTTGCCTAATAGGCTATTTAAGTATTAGTAGCAAAGTATTAAACTTATTATCTTTAAGGCTATTAGGCTAATATAAGGCACGTAATAGCAGGGTAATATATAAGTAATTAAGGTAAGTAAGCTATAGAGTAATACTTGCAAATATAACTAATTCTAAGAATTAATTTTAATAAGAAACTAATTAATACTTCTTCTAAAGCTAGGAGCGTCTCCTTATATATTCCCTAGTACTTAGCCAGGTATATAAAGCCCTTTACTTAATTAGGAAATCCTATATAATTCATATAATTCCGATTATAAGCTATACCCAAAATAGGAAACTAGATTTATAATATCTAATACCTATTTATATACTATTATATATACCTATTATATTAACTTCTTCTCTAGGCCCTTATTCCCAAGAGGCCTAGAAAAACTATAAATAGCTTTATAAATATTTCCTTAAAACTTTTCTAATTACTAGCTTTCTCTAAAAACTCCCTATAATTACTCTATTATTATATTAGGTAATAAAGTTAAGGATATAGTTTACTAATTCTTTCTAGCTAGTTTATAAATTACCTCTAGTAATTCCCTTTTATAAAGGTAATATAAATATAGTATATACTATTAGATATAAAGCTTATCCGATTTCCTAATTAGTTTATAAATCCTAACTTAGTCTCTATTTGCAAATAAATTATTACTTTATAGGCCTAAGAGCTTAGAAAAGTTAATCCGATCTTCTAATTTATTCGTGAATTCCTTCTTTAGAATTTTCTAGGTATTTCTAGTATAAAGCCGGTTCTAAATTTATAATTACTATTCGGGAAAAGAATATTATAAAAAGGCCTCTCTTTTCCTACTAACTAATCTTCTTTTTTCTTAACTATAATACTATACCTAGCTCTTCCTTATCTCTTGCCTTTCTTCTTTAAGCCTTCTTTAAGCTTTTTTAAGTTCCTTTAAACCTTATTTAAGCTTTATTTAAGTCCTTTTCTAATTTCCTTTTTTACTTCTTTATTTATTAAGATAAATACTTCTCTTAGTATTTATTAGCCTATTATTACTTATTTAGCTAATACTTCTATATCCTTAATTTGCCCTTACTATTTTTAATATTTTAAGAATATTACTAAGTTTCCTAATCTTACTTATATTAAAAGTAATAATTACTTAATATATAATTACTATTACTTCAAGAATAAGAAATATAATTCTATAAGTTACAAATTTCTTCTTTTATTTCTTATTCTAATACTATCTAAGGTTCCTTAAGTATATATAATATAATTAAATTATTTTCTTTAAATTATTAATATATATAAGTATTTTCCCTATTCTTTACCTAAAAGAGAAAAGGCTATTATTATTATTCTTCTATACTAAACTATATATACTTCTCGTATTAAAGCTATTATTCGAGGCTAACGGATTCCCCTAATAATTCAAGGAATAAGTTAAGTAATTCTTACTAGCTTAGTACAAGTATAAAGTACTCTTAATAATATAATTAATATTCTTTAGTATTAAGTAAACTTACTTCTTTCTTATTTCTTACTAATAGCTAATAGCTTTATAGGCTAATTTATTATCTATTTCTCAAGAGAATCCTAATAAGAATAATAATAAAAATAATAGAAAGTAGTTATAAGAGTAGGGTATTTATAGGATATAGAAATTAGAGTTTTTAATAATTTTCATATAATTTTTCCAAGAATAAATATATAGTTTTTTAATAGTTTCCTAATAAAAGCATTTATCTTTTATATCTCTATTTAGCTAATAGTATTATAATATTACTCTTTTCCAAGTATTCTTATAATTCTTGAGCTATATTCTCTAGATTATTTAGTAGTTCCTATATATTATTTACTAGTAAGTAGCTTTTCTAATAAATAAGATATTCTTTTTCTTTTCTACTTTCCCTATAGGCTATAATAAATTCCACCTCGAATTCCTCTTTGCCCTTAATCTTAACTAGCTCTAGTTCTATTATAATACTAGCTCGCGAGTACTATAGTTCTAAGAAAGAAACGTGAAAAATATTATAGATCTAATATAATAATAGTAATTTCAAGTAATATACCTATTTATATATTCCTATAACTTCTAGAACTTTAAAGAGGCCAAGATATCTGTTTACTAGCTTTATACTAGGTTATAGCTATTAAATATTCTTTATACAAAGTATAACTTTATTATATATCTTGAATTCCTTATTAATATATTTCTTATTATAGTACTTTTTCTATATATTTACTATTTCTTACTATTATTTCTCTAATACCTCTCGTTCTACTTAAATTCTTTATATTCTTTCCTATATTACCGGTACTTCTTTTTCTAGAATATTATTCTTAATATATAATTTAATACTAGAATAAAATTCATATAAGATATAAAATAGGGATATTTCTATTATTAAATATATAAAGTTATTATACGTGAATTTTATAAGAATAAGCTTTACTATCTAGTTATCTTACTAGTAACTAGTATAATATCTTAAGTATTATTCTAGAGTTTAGTTTAGATTCTCTATTTATTTATTAGTTTGCGGGTAAAATATTATACTTAGCTATTATTAAACCTTTAAGTAAAAGTATAAACTTAATTAGAACTTGCTTATAAAAACAGATTTTTTATTAGAGGTTATACCCGCAAGTATACTAAAGTCTTTAATAATATAATATATAAATAGCTCCGCTAGCTTAAGAGCCGAGACTTTCTTAGTAATCGGAATATATTATACCATTTTCGTATATCTATTAATAATAATAAGTATAAAATCATATATTTTACTATAAAACCTAGAAGAAGGCAGTCCTATAATAAAGTCTATAGTAATTTCTTACTATAGCTTAGAGAAAAGAGGAAACGAACTAAGTATACTATATAGTAGATATCTTTTTATCTTAGTCTATTAATATATAGAATAAGTTCTAATATAGTCTTTTATATTCTTTCTTATATTTTACTAGAAGTACTTTCTCTAGAAAATCTCTAGTATCTTACTAGTACTAAAATACTTATTTATAGAATTATTATAATTAGTTTATAGTAATTCTTTTTTAAGAGCCGGCTTATTTAGTATATAAATAGTACCCTAATATCTTAATAACCCAGATATATTAAGTTCCTAAGTCTTAATAGCTCTAGTAGAAGTTCTTTTTAAGAACTATTTATATTACCGGTATTATACTAATAGATTAAGCCTTTAGTACTATAATAGTAATTCAAGTAATATTTCTCTGCTTTCCTTATATACTATTTCGGACCTAGCTACTTATATAGCTAGAATTCGTAGTATGTACTATTTATAACTAGCTATACTAGTAATAGGCTCAGGTAGTAATATCTCCGGTATTATTCTATTACTAAAATAGACTTCCTTTTTAGAATTCCTTAGTATCTTGCTAATTAAGAAATACCTACTTCCTCTTTTCTGGGCCTTATATTATAGTATTATAGGAATAGTATAGCGTCCTATTACTATTACCTATAAGATTCTCTATTTTATATTCTATAGCTTATTATAAAGTATAAGTAATAAAGTATCTTTATCTATATCCGCTATAAAGTCTGGCCTCCTTAATAGCCTATTAGCGGGATTACTATACCCTGGCTAATACTTTAAGATAAAGTTAAAGGTAGCTAGCTTCTTTACCTATCTTATTTATTAATTATTTAGTTTTCTCTTAATTATAAAGTATTTTAAGTTATTATAATCTGTTTTAATAATAATAATATACCGGATATATATTAGGTAATACTACTAAGTATGAAATACTAGAATAATAGTTAAGAATTCAGAGTTATATATCTTATACCTACTCTTAATTATAGTTATCTTTTTTAAATAGAAAGTAATAGGGTATTACCTGGCTTCTATTCCCTTATTAAAGAGCTAGGAAATTATACCTATAATTATAAATCCTAAAGTATTTATTTCTATATAAATCTTTAAGGCTAGATTAAAATAATAAAGGATTAGTACTATTATAAATATAATTTATAGCTTCCTAAAAGCCTTATTTGCCTCATTTGTTTAGCTAAACTAATATAGTAGTTTTCCGCTAGTTTTTAGTAAATTAGTTAACTCTTTTATTACCCTAAAGTATTTATAGATAAATCTCTAGTAAAAGTTAGTAAAACCCAGAAATACTTGAACTTCTCGAATATTATTTTTTAGGGCTAGCTATTTCCTAATAGCTATAACCCGGCTAGCCTCTATTTCTATATTATCTGGGCTAATTACAAATCCTAGAAACTTTACTTTCTCTATATTAAACTCGTATTTTACTAAGTTTATAAAGAGCTAGTATTACTATAATTACTCGAGTATATATTAAACTACTATTATATACTATTCTGGGTTCTCTAAATAAATCAAAATATTATTTAGATAAACTATATAAATAATATTTATAAGGCCTACTAGTATATAATTAATATATACCTGAAATATTACCGGAGTATTAGATAGTCTAAAGAATATAATATAGTACTTAAAATATCTATAGTATATTCGGAATATTATCTTTTACTTATTACTCTCTTATATTTATAACTAATAATAAGTATTTTTTAAGTCTAGCTTTATATATATCTTTACTTTATAAAGCCTATCTATTATCTTACTAATAAGTAATAATAGTATTTGGTTCTTAATAATAATCCTATTTAGACCCCGGTAATTAATATATAGATATAGGCCGTCTTCTTTCTTTAAAATAAATATAATTAGGGTACTAACTAGGCTAGTAAAATAATAGATTTACTTTTTCTTTAAGCTAGTATTAAGATATTCCTAAAAGACTTTAAGCTCTCTTTCTAATAAAGTATATATAGGACTATATAGTAATTAGGATCCTAGTTCTAGATCTATATAATACTCTATTATATAGTAATTAGATAGTATATCTATAGCCTTTATAGAGAATACTCGGAGAAAGTTTTAATATTTTCTAGGAAATATAGCTATTCCGTTTATAATAATAGTAGTAATTCTTTAGCTATCTATTATAGGATAGGTAATTAATAGAAAAACATATGCCTTATACTTTACTACTTTAGTAAACTTCCTGGTATTTAGAACTTTAATCTTTTATAATTAAATCTAGTATCTCTATATTACCTTTCTAAAGGAAATTAGGGAATTAATCTAGTAAAGCTATAGGAATTCAAATATTATATTAATATAGTTCAGATCGAAATTATATAATATAAAGTATATATTAGCTTCCCTTTAGTTCCCTAGTATATCCTTAGTAATAATCCTAAGAATATAATCTTTATATAAATGAATTCTTCTTTTCTCTAGTAAGAATAAGGAAGTTACTTTTAATATTAATAGAATACTTATATCTAAGGCTAATTTCCTCTTTATATAATTAGCCTCTATACCTGAGTTAACTAATACTCTAACTCTTTACTTACCTTTCCTTATCTTAATAATAACCTTAATTACTATTCTTATTTTAGGAGCCTTGCTCTTTATAATATAAACGAGTATAACTATTACGGGGCATGCCCGTTTCCCGGCTTCTTTAATTCTAGGTACTTATATACCTTATAACCAGACTTATTATAGTTATAATAAGTCGGTTTTCCCTGATTTAGGCAGGTAGTAATATAGTAATTCTCTTTCTAGTAAGTAAAGCAAGTTATATCCGGTCTTATAAATCCTAATATAGATACTATAATAGATCCCGTTACTATGCTTTTATTACTCCGGTTATATAAATCTCGTAATAGGAATATACTTCTCTTTTATTTCCCTTTATTATTTCTTCTTTTCTTTCTCTAATTTCCTTTCTTTTATTAACTTATTAGCTTATTATTATATTCCCGTTAAGTAAACTAGTTCAAGTTATTCTTAACCCTTATAGCCGTAGAAATAAGCTTTTTTCTTTCTTATAAAGTATTCCCTTAGTAATTAATCTTATTCCGAATCTCCTACCTCAAGTTACTAAATAAGTTATTCTGCTTTTATAGTAAATCCGTATATCCCAAGTTATTTAATAGGCTATCTAAGTAGGATATAAAGCTTTGGATACTCTAATCTGGCCGCTATTTTATATCCTTAAACTTGGCGAGGATATTATTACGGTTCTCCGGATCCAAGATAAAATCCTTTATAAACTTAATAAAGGTCTTCTAATCTATGGTATTAATACTCACTAATTACTCCCTATATTTCCAGATATCCCTGGCTATATTCTTAAAGCAGGAAATATAATATATAATCTTTATTATATCTATAGCCCAAGTAATCCCGCTATCTTTATACTATTTTAGCTTTACCTAATAGAAGAAATCCTGGGCTTCCTTAATACTCTTCCCCTTATAAGTTAGTAATTCTCGGGTTTTTGGAGCCCTATAAACTAAATATGCCGCCAGTAGCATAATAGGTTCTATAATAAGTATCCGAATATCCTTAAGATAGCGAATCTAAGCTTCTAGATCCTTTAGATTCTCCCTTTATTATATTTCTGCTTCTAACTCAGTAATACGATAATGAGCCGCTACTAGCTTCTCTATTATTATTATCCTACTAGCTAGTTCTGGGGATATCTGAGTTCTACTCTCTTTTCCTAATTAGGCAATAGCTAGAGTGGCTAACTAGGCACTCCCCTGGATGCCCGACTAGATTACTCTAGTAATAGTAGAGGCGCTTCTTCTAGTTAATACTCTAGTTATTAATAGTTTTATCTATTAATGGCTTAACTACCTCGTAATGAACTACTTCCCGAAGGTTAGATTAATTAGAATATGAGGCACGTAATAGCAGGATAATATATAAGTAATTAAGGTAAGTAAGCTACGAAGTAACGCTTATAAGTATAACTAATTCCAAGAATTAATTCTAATAAGAGACTAATTAATGCCCCTTCCAAAGCTAGGAGCGTCTCCCTATATATTCCCTAGTATTTAGCCAGGCATACGAAGCCCTTTACTTAATTAGGAAATCCCATGCGATTTATATAATTCCGATTGCAAGCTATACCCAAAATAGGAAACTAGATCCATGACATCTGACACCTGTCTATGCGCCATCACGTGTGCCTATTATAGCTAAGTAGTATACTCCCGGGTTAATATAATAAAAGCTTGCTCATATACTAGTATAGCTAAAGAAATAGTATAATTAATAAGCTTTAGTCAAGCTATAAGGGCATCTCGCCAAAGCTCATTTAACTAATCCGCTTACTTAGTAAGATTATCTAGGCCCGCTTTAATCTTATCCGCACTACTTCTTTCCCTCTTTACTTCTTCTCTTTATGGCTATTTATCTACAGAAATGTCCTTTCCTACTATTCTTGCTTTTTTATTCTTCTTCTTTTTAGAAGACTTGAGAGCTAGCATTAATTGCTACGTAAAAGAAGTCTTAGAAGCTTATATACTATTAATTTCGTTACCTTTTCTATTAAGACCAAAGGAATTAGGGTCAGTAGCTTTTGTACTACTATATTCTGAATTAGACCAGAAAATCGCGGTTTCCTCTATCTTATCTCCTAATTAAATATTTATACGAGGCCTCTTTTTAGAAGGATAACGGGACAAACTAGTACTTAAACCCGCCTCCGAATTACTCGAATTACTATTATTACTTGCGGTAGAATTATTATTACCCCTTAATCTCTTTTCCGGAAAAGCGGCATATTTTCTAGTAATAACCTTCTCCTTATATATCTATATTAATTTGTCTTTCTCCCGAAAAGCATTATTTTTAAAGAACCCATAGTACTTTTTATTATCCTTATATACTCCATATAAGGATCTCTAGGCATAAATCAATGCCTATAATATCTGAGTCTCCTGGTTCTATTCCTAGCCCAATATCTTTTTCATTAATTTAATATATTTCTTTAATCTGGCTTTTAATTATAGAGAGAAATATAATTAGTATATATTTAAGGGAAAAAGATATAAATAAGTAAATACCAGATCCAGTTTACCCTCTGTTTAGGCAATACTAAGCTTCTAACCCGTATTCGCAGGAATAGCGTCTTATATAGCTATAGTAATTAAAAGCCAGGCTTTAGCTTTAAAGCCCTAGCCAGCGCGTTTACCAAGGGCATCTTACTAAATTACTTTGTCCAGGGCCGCTTGTATTATATTATTAGTCTATCGGAATGGTTCTATATTAGTAGCTTGTAAATCGGGGGGTTGCGATAGAGCTTGCAATAGAGCTTGCAAATTAGCTTGCGTATTAGCTTGCGTATTAGCTTGAGTAGATCTCTGCTTTATAGGATGCGTTCGACTTTTCCGTGGCATATTAGGCGTATTAAATCAGATTAAAGTCATAAAAAGGTATACAGGAGACGTATTAACGTGTAAAGAGATTTATTATTAGCGGCCCACATAAGCTTAGTAACTTATTACTAATAGGGCCCGTAATGCCCTTTACAGGAAATGGCCGAACGCCCTGTACAGGGGCGGTAAACCTCGTACATGCCCTTTACCGCCCCTGTACGGGGCGTACAGGAAAGGGGCGGTAAAGGGAATACCGCCCCTGTACAGGAAAAAAGGGCATGTGCGCGGCCGAACGGGCTCTTAGTGGCCATGCTGGAGAGCGGACTTGGTACATGGTGTCGAGAGGGGAATCCATTTCTAGTTCTCTTCGACCGATTGGGTCAGGGATGAAACATTCGTTTCGTTCCTTTCTGAGCAAAGAAAACATGAGACCACAACTTGTGAAGTTGTCAACAAGTCGTGAAAGCTACATGGCTTTGCCGCCTCCAGCGACATCCTCTCGTTACCACCAGTGTGCCCCGGAATAAAAAGGCACACAAAATGTGCAATTACGGCATGACTTGGGTCTTGAACCTGGAGTGTTCAGCCCAATACTCACAACGAAACCATTTTGGCGATTTTCATGCGACGTAGCCACCGTCTTCCGTGTTTGGCCAACCGACATTGACCGAGAGAGGCCTTTCTCTCCTTTTGGATTTCTGTGCCAAGAGCGTTTTGTTGTTGTTTGAGGACGCTAACACAGTTCCTGCTTGCACCACGTTCACAGCAAGCTGATCACCCTGACTTGTCTCAGGCTTTCGACTCTCCAATCTCCTCTCGTGGAGATTCCTTGATATTCGCCGTCAAGGAAGCACATCCGTCTTTGAAATCAGTCGCTTGTTTTGAGAGATTGCGCATGAGATCCTGCATCATCTGAGGCACCACCAGCGAAAACCTCTCGACTTTTTCTATCAAGGCCGCTTGTGCAACCGAGTTTTTGGTGATGAGCTCGTCGTTCTCCTCCTTCAGTTTTAGCATTATTGCACAGTATCTGGCTTCGACGTCTGCTAGCTCTTTTCTATAAGTTTCCGCCTCCGTTATTCTATTTTTTTCAAAGAATTGGACCATCTCCGTCATTCGCTCATCCGAAATCATATTGAGTTTCGTGTACTGTATTTCCAACCTAGAATTCTGTGCAGTAGTTTCGCTAAGAACCCGAATGAGACCCCGCTTTTCGCTCTCCAGAGTTTCGTTCTTCGCTTCCAAGATGCCTTTCTCTTCCGTGAGTACCTCCACGCATGCTTGGAGATCTGCCATGGAGCTTGCCACGCTTTCGAGCTTGCCCTCGAAAGCGACCCGCTCTCTCGTGAAATTTTCGCGCAAGTCATTCATCCCTCTTGCCAACATCCCTGTTCTTATGGTCTCCTCATCTAACTTCATGAGTAGATTGTCGTTCTTCTTTGCTAAGATATCATGCGCTTCGGATATTTTCTTTTCGCGCTCACGGAGCTCTGCTATGATGTGTTCACTCTGACGAAACTCATGCTCGTAGAAATCAACATTGTGCTCAAGCTCTTTCTTTAGATTTTCGTTAGTAGCGGTATATGTCTGTTCTAAATCCTTACTCTTCTTCTCCTGCTGTTCGCATCTCTCCCGGAGTAAGCGAATCTCTTCGTCCTTGGTGAAATGCTTCTGCTTTTCAAGAGCCTGGAAGCGATCGGCCATCTGGGTGACGTTCTCAAGAACAGACATGAGCTGAGGGAGAGACTCAACATCCTGCACGGATCCATTCCACCCAGATGAAGATGCAACATCGGTGACGGAGCCCTCGGAGCCCCTCTCTGTCGGTGCTGGAATCCATCTCTTGATCTTGTCGAGCTTCTCCTTCGACAACGGGTCGCCGAACACGCTCCCACCCCGGACCGTTGCGCTCTTGGCTGTAGTCGTGCTGCCACTGCTGGAGAATGTGCTCGCACTGGCCCGGAAAGCATTTGCCGCATTCAGGAATCCTTTCAGGGTGTCTGCAGCCTCCGAGCCGGGCATGAGCGATTGAGTCCGGCCTTTGACGAGCTGTCGATTGAGCCCATCGATTCCAGCCTCGATGGTGCCAAGACGTTGAGACACCTCTGCATCCGTGCGATCACGGCGCAAAATGGCACACCTGCCAGCGTTACTCTCGTTCCAAGCCAACTTGAAAAGAGGACTTACGTGTTGATAGAGTTGAGTGCAATGACTAAGACACGGTGGTAGATGTCGATCTCCGTTCGAAAACCATCCATATCATTCGTGTTGAAGTTGAATTTAATTTTGGATACGGAGCGCCGCAATATGCCCCTGTTGGTCCCGCTATCGGTGGACACCCTGTTGAGCAGCTGCTCGAATTTATCCAGAACAGCTGCGCATCTTGATATACTGTCTTTGACAGACACCCAGAGTTGTCCATCAGGTCCTGTCTGGGCTGCCGCTACCTCGGGATTGCTCGTCCAGGCAAGGCTGACACCGGTCAAGATCTGTGAGAGTGAGTTCAGTCCTTGATGCAGCGTCTGAATCTTGTCATCGATTGACCTGACGTCTCCTACAAAGCCATTGATGGCTACAGACAACTAGGCTCCCAAATCAGCATATGAGGCTACCGGTATAAGTGAGGTTGGGATCAGCCTAGGCCTTCTTCGAGATCTCTCACCTTGAAGCAGAGTTGCGCGAGCGCTGCAGAGCTCGCCGCAATGGAAAGGGGATCCACCATCATGATACGATGCACCAGTGTGCTCCTTGAAGGTTAGGATAAGATGGCTGAGGGCATTTTCCAGGTAAGGCTATCAACCTCGAGGAAAGTCGACGTGGTCGTGTGGCTTGCTGCGCCTCAGTGTGCAAGCCTCCGATCACGATGGAACCTCACGAATGAGCAAGAATTATTAGGAAAAGATGGCAAAATCTCTCGAAGATGCCTTAATACAAGTATGCCCATATATAACTAGTAAGCAAGTAGGGAAGTAATATATACAAGTAGGAAACTATAAAATATCGAAGAACGAGCATGTTCACGTGACCTTTTGAACACTTGGGCACTGACAGCGAGGGGCAGCCAATCACATTCCAATCCCTAACCCTAACTCCAAAATAAGACCTGCAACAAAACTTTCTGGTCTCGTGCTGCTGACTAATTGGAACACTCCCCAAAAGGTACGATGCCTCAATCTCCTGCCCTTAGTAGGAATAAGCTATTATCACTTTCAGAAACAAAAGGATATCACACCAGACAAAAGCAAAGCAGAGCAAAATTCAAGTCTCAAAACCCATGGCATTTCTTTCCTCTTTCTATCCCTTCACTAGACTAGCCACGGAATTCTCTCTTCTCGTACTCTCTCTTTAGCCAACTCTCTTTCACTACTTTGCTTGATCTCACACTCAAATCCCAAAGAGACCTCACACACAGACACACAATAATACACGAACAGAAAAACGGCGGAATCCATTGCGATGTTGAGAGAAATCCCGAAAAACAGTGGCTGAATGATGATAAAAGATAAAAAAAATAAAAGGGAAAAGAGTTATAGGAAACAAGCAAACACATGAAGGAAGGAAGGTATTACAACACAATATCCATGCAGGTATCCAAGCCACAAACCCGCTTCTTTCGTCTCTTCCTCCCCTTCACTTTCAACGCCGCGGACACCATGATTTGCTCGCAGGCTCGCAGCTCGCTCAGTTCCCCACGACCTCCTCCTCTGCCCACCCATTCAACCCATTTATATTCATTCCCATTCCGTCTTGTATCGCTAGTCCATAACCGTTTCCAAACACTCCATTGCCATTGGAATTCCCGCCCGAAAAGCTGCTCTGATACTGATGTCCCCTCCGCTCTCCATTGCCATTCGTATTCCCATTCTCTTGGAACTGCCCATTGACCTGCTGCGCGAAGACCGGCAAGCTGACTGCACGGTTGTGCTGTCCACGAGCTGGGGCAAGGAGACCGTTGACGGTAGGTGCGCCAGACGAGGAGTTTCCGCTCTGGAAACCATTCATACCGGAAATGCTCGCGGATTGTTGGTGGCCTATTTGGCTTTGTTGGGGGATGTCGAGAGCATCGATGTTGGAGGATGAGTTGTTGCCATAGAGAGCGGCTTGTTGAGCTTGGAGAACTTGCTGCTGTTGCTGTTGGAGCTGAGCGACGGCGTAGGGGTCAAGCTGTTGCTGTTGCTGGGCGTGAGCTTGTTGCGAGACTTGGTTCAGGTACAAGGTGAGGGGGTTGTTGCTGCCCGCATTGAGAATGGTGGATGGTGTAGGGGCGGTTTGGAAGTTCTGCGAACCGTTCGCTGAGCCGGGTGCTTGAGAACCAGTTGGCGAGCTGCCGTTTTGGCTTGGCTGGAGACCACCGCTGTTTGGGGGAGGCGAGTTCACGCCGTCATTGCGAGGGGATTGAGCTTGCTGAACTTGACGAGGAGGATTTCCACAACGATCCTTGCCGAAGTTGACCTTGAATCGGCGGTAATCATCCTTGCCTCGCACAGCCTCGATTGCCTTGATGGCATTGGCGATGTTGGTGAAGTTGACGAACGCACAGCTCTTCTCTCGAAGAGTGTTGACAAGCTCAATCTCACCATACTCAGAGAAGTCCTGTCTCAGCCTCTCCTCACTCCAGGATTCGTCCAAGTTCCCAATGTAGACGTTCCGCGAAGCACCGCCACTCACAGCAAGAGCAATGGCAGCTGGGAGCGCGCCAGAATGCTTTCCCCATCCAATCTTCAACCTCCTGTTATGAATCATTAGGCCTTGTAAATTGCTCAAAGCGTAGAAAGAAGCAGCTGAAGTTGGGTCAATAAAGGTGACGAAGCAAATATGCTTGTCGGGTATATATCGAATGTGGTGTAAAAGTCCACCTCTGACAACATTACAAATCTCTTCAATTGTGGTTTCGGGATGGATATTTCCCAAGTAAACGGTGCGATTGCCAAGGTTGTTGATTCCTCCGGCGGTTGTGGCAACGGCTGCGGCTGCAACGGATTGTTGAGCCAGAGCATTCGATATCAAGTCACGATCGGCTCCGTTGAGCACATGGGCGTACCCGGGTGCAATGCCCAGGTATTGAGCAGCGTTCTGCTGTTGCGTCTTTGAAACATACGCGCATCTATCCTTTCCGTAGTACACTCGGCGGGGTGATTGCCACTTGGGCTCCTGTGGGAGTTGTGACACAGCTTTGATAGCGTTGCCAATTGACAGGAAGTGGACGAAACCGATTGCCTTTTCACGAACAATCTTGACCGTGTCGATTGGGCCGAACTTGCTCAAATCCTCTCGCAGCTCCTCCTCCGTCACATTCTCATCGAGGTTTCCTAAGTACACGTTTCTCGAGGCACCTGACTGTTGAACAGCAAGAGCGACTGACGTTGGCACCTGCGAGGGTTTACCCCATCCAACCTTGATATCCTGACCGCGGATCGAGAGCTTCTTCAAGATGGCGTCAGAATGGAAATGAGTGGCGGAGCTTCCGTCCAAGAACGAAATGAATGCACAGTTCTTGTCCGGTAAAAGTCGGACAGATTCGATCTGACCACTTCTCACGTGTCCCAAGATCTCCTCCGCAGATGTCTCCGGGGGAATGTTTCCCAAGTACACCGTCCTGCTCGTACCCGAAACCAATCCAGGTGACATATGTACAGGAGAGGATGGTTGGATCTGCATCTGTTGCATCTGATTGTTCATTGAAGCAAATCCTCCGGTCGGCGATTGGGGATTGTAGAATTGCGGTGCGCCGTAGGTCGAAGGTGAAACGAGCGATTGGTACAACTGAGGAGACATCTGCTGAATCGGACTAGACATGCCCTGCTGTTGTTGCTGTTGATTGTTCTGTTGGTTGAAGGTAGCGTAGTTCTGGAATTGAGGAGACGCGAAAGCAGCTGGAGTGCCAGGTTGGAAAGGAGAGCCCAGAAGGAGTTGGGATGGAAGTAAAGGGGTGAATTGCATGTCGAACCCCGTTCCAGGTGTTGCCATGTCATTCTGCCCTTGCTGATTCATGGGTTGCGTGTTGATCGAAGGAACGTTCGCTCTCCGTGGGTGTCTGTCTCCATATCCGCCCATCGAGAAGTGGTTCGAACTGTATGCACCGTGGGAGAAGCCCGTATCGCTGTTCGAAGGTTTCGAGGCATGGCCAGGGAATCTGCCAGCGGTCGCTGCGCCAGGCCCGTTCTGAGGGTTTGCTGCTTGTGTTTCCTGCATTGCGTGAAGGTGAGGTGGCAGGACAAAGCTGTCCCGCACCAGTGATGATAATACAGCCGTTTTGAAGGATTAATGGTGCCCTGGAGGAGGCACAAAGGGGCTGTAGACTTGTAGACGAAAGGAGCTGTCAATTGACAAAGTTGCTTCGAGGACCGCGCGAAGTCGATTCGAGCGAATGTATGATTCGAAACAGTAATTCTTGCGAGTTGTTCGGAGGATTGGGTGTCGAATGTAGACAGTCTGGGTGAAGAATGTTTGATATAAACAAATCCTTGTATAAATTAATGGACCGTAGTATGTGTACAGCTATTTTCAAGTCGAAATTGAAGAGGGAAACATCTGCGACGTTGACGTGGCAATTCGAAGGTATGAATACGGTATCCGCAAGGGCTTCGAGGATTCGTTCGAGGTCAACAGATGTCTTTCTTGCAAGTCGTTGTCAAACAAAGAACCAGGGGAGGTCGGCAGAAGCTGATTGAGCGAGCGTGATGGTTGAATAAAGGGTGTAAGTAAATAGATGAACCAGAAGAAAGCAGCGAAGAAAGCAGCTGAGAAAGCAGCTGAGAAATGAGTGTGGATTGGTCGAGACGGCCAAAGAAGAGGGTGAAGCAAAGAATGAGGAAGAGTTGAGAGAAGGGGAGGAGAGCAAGTTGGCGAAGGTGTAATGAGATGGCAGGTCGAGAAATGGTGGTTAATTTCCCAGGGTCGGCTCCTGTATTGGGCCAGGCTAAGGCTGCATGCGGTTTAGTGCTGGCGTCAGGGGCAAATAGTGAGCGCCCAGCCAATCGACAGGGGTGCGTCCGTCCCAAAATGGCCACCCTCAAGCGGCCACAACACCAACGTCTGATGCTACAACTCCATCCCATATGCTCGACGGTTTGACACAGTGATACTGGTACATCTGATTCCTCTCCTGTTTGCACCATCACGAACGCATATCTCTCGTGCCATCCCAATCATGGAGCGGCGTTCGAACGAGCCCATTCCTCCCCATTCCACCTCATCCACCGTGTCATCCGAACAAATCGAGACAGTGTCAACGTTAGATGTCATCTCAAGAGCCTCGCCAAACATTGGACGTTGTGCCTGTCAGATGAGCCTTATGCCCTCCAAACTTTCGTCATGTGCCCATCATTGTACAGAACATCTTGGTACTGTGGTACCAGAGATTGTAAATTAAATTTATTCCAGAACGAAAATCATATGCAGATCAATGCCTCCACACTTCACCTCTCTATCTCGCGTGCCCGCCCCATTCGCGAATACATTCACTGGATATTGCGGGTACATGGGATAGAGTACGTGTACCTCTCACTGCGACTGGGAACAAGTTTGCGGTTTCAATTCGTTTTGCCGCCTCCTTGTCCCTGCATCATCGAGAACGTTTCTGAATCTCGGATACCCTGCGCTCGGCAAAGCACGATCGCTTGATACACAAAACGGACGACACCTACATCTGATCCTGATCCTGTTTGAACCCTACATCGCAGCTCAAGCGTACATAATAATCAATTTGCCTGATTCGTGGGAGATGTGTCAAAATTACCAAATGCGACGAACGAAGCTTCCCTCCTCTTTCGAGTCAACGTCAGGACATCCTCCTCAGAGAGCATCATCGTTTGATACAGAGAATAGACGGCACCTGCAAGTCCGGACAGATTGGGCGGATTCACCTCCCAGTTCGTATCAGGATCAATTCCCATCGTAGGGCGATGGGAGAATGTGTCAAAACACCCTGGCTCTGGGGGTTATCAGCCCCCTTTTCTTCTCCCTGGCGGTCCGATCCCAGTGAGGTGTGCAAGCGAGCTGCACGCCCATCTTCCCCACCTGCTGAGTACAGGACCGTTCATTTTCAATTTTCCCAATTCAAATTTCGACAATCCAAATGCCTGTCTCTGAATCTTCCCTTGAATTATCATGCAATTAAGTCTGACTTGCAATTGATCAAGCACAATCGAAATTGCTGTATTGTCACTCGCCGGTCCCACGAACAAGCCCGTTTCACCAAAGCTTAAAATCCGTGGCTGAGGCGCGGCAAGCACCCCCTTACCGCACCCGCATCCAGCGATCCGAGGACCTGGTTACTTCTAGAACAAGTTCCGTTTCCCTCAGGTTTATTTAAGGATCTTCTCACGATCCGTGATTTGCCAGTGGTGATTTATCTACATGCGAAGGAAATCAGACACGGAGGTCAAGGTTCTTTAAGGATTGCCCCCAGGGTCGAATTGGGTTGGAGTGTTTTAAGTTTGGTGGGGTTTTCACTATTTTTAGGTTCCCCGGTGCTGGCATGAACTGGTCGGTCTTGGACGTTTCATCATGCATTTGTGCTCAAGTGGACAGTTGGAGCATGATCTTCAGCGATCTGAAAATGATGTGACAGTTTATGATGTTTAGTCATTACGCTTCACACGCTTCATTGATTGGAAAAGGGAATCTATGTTTATCTGTTCTGACAGCCAAAAGGAGAGAAGGCAAGATCTGATATGATCGGCAAGAGCAAAGGTTGGATTTATGGCTTGCATCGACCCATAAACCGGGGGTACAGACAGCATGTGCGGACAGAGTGCTGTTTGCAGATCCACGCGATGAATCGCTCGAGTCCCAAACCGTAGCCACCGTGGGGGGATGTTCCGTATCTGTTAATCCGTTGTTAGCCTGGGATCAGAGATATGGGAAGGATGGGGAGACCTACTTTCGCTGCTCGGTGTACCAATAGTACTCCTTCGGTGAAATTCCCTCACGCTTATATGCTTCCATTAACTCGTCATACCCCTCCATTCTCATCGAACCACCGACAATCTCTCCAACTCCCGGCATCAGGACATCAACACTTTCCGTGACGCGAAGATCAGCGGGATCCTTCTTCATGTAGAAGGCTTTAATCTCAACCGGGAAGTGTGTCAGGAAGATGGGCAGGTTAATGATATCAGTCATTCTCCGCTCTGCAGCCTCAGCGATATCGTCGCCGAAAACATGAGGGTTGCCTTCTTCGTTGAGGATAGGGGGATCTTGTGCGTTGAGCCAATCAATTGCATCGGAATACCGCATGCGTTTGAACGGTCTCGTGGGGGCCTTGAACTCAGGGTTGAGCTCCTTGATATATCCAGCAATTTCTTTATCCTCCATAATTGTTGTGATGACTCTGCTGATCATCTCCTCCAAGTGGTCCAGCAGGTCGTCAAAATCGATGAAATCAAGTTCCGCCTCCACGTGAGTGTATTCTGACAGATGACGGCGGGTCAGGGACTTCTCGGCTCGGAAGGACTTTTCGATGCAGTAGACGTTGCCAAGACTGGGGATACCAGTCTCGAGGTAGAGTTGGGATGACTGAGTCAGGTATGTCTTCTCGCCATAGTAATCCAGCTCGAATAGTGTCGATCCACCCTCGACTTGTGTTTGAACGAATGCTGGGGGACTGATCTTGGTAAAGCGCAGCTCCTTGTATGCCTTCGCAAACGCCCACTCAACTGCAGACCGGACCTTCATAACAGACGATGCGACATCGCCTCGCAGGACCAAATGGCGCTGGTCGAGCATTGCTGCCTCCCATTGATCTTGCTGGGCAGAAATTTTGTTGGTGATAGCCTCTGCATCGGATGGCGATCTGCCCCAAACTTTGTAGTAATCGACGTGGAGTTCTCTGTTATCTGGGGCGGATTGGCCAGCGAGCACCTTTCGCATCTCCCCAAAGAGGGTCAGCGAAGTGCCTTGTGCGAAGGTGAGAGCATCGTAGGTCTTCGTAAGGTCGCCAGAAAGAACGCATTGCAGATGTCCGTATCCGTCAATCAGTGTAATGAAGGTAGCTTGCTTTTGTTGTCGTAGACGGTGGATGCGACCAGACACCTTGACTCGAGTCCCCTTAATATCTCCCTCGCCCAATTCCACGTCCTTGTCTCCAATTGTAACCTTAACAGCCTTCGGCAGAGAGTGGTTCTCCTCGAGAACAATCTTTTTTGCCTCATCGAGGTGCTTTAGACGTGCCTTCTCCTTCTCTTCCTCCTGTGCGGCTTGTTGCTGCTGTTTCAGAAGCTTCTTCTTGTGTGCATCCAATGCGCCTTGGGCTTTCTTGATAGCAGCTTTGGCTGGGTCTTTCCAGACCAGTCTCTCTGCCGGATCGCCATCTGCGCTGACTGGACCAGTTGTAGAGGCCCGCGACAGGTAGGTCTTGCCCTCACTCCCTCCTTGTTGAATGTAGGCGAACGCCAATGTCTTGTAAGATTTGCTTTCGGTGCCAGGTTGGGATTCCTCGTCCAGGCCGACGTCTGTGTCGACGTAGACTGTTGTGGCCTTGACTCGCTCCGCGAGATCTTGAACTGCGGCCATTGTCGCGTGCTTGTTATCTCAATTGATCTTGTCGACTTTTTGTGGTGGGGGAGGCTGAGATATTTTTGTTCTGTTCGCCGAAGACTCACCGCGCTTTGAGTCACTCAGGGTAAAACTCGGGGTGGCTTTATCAAATCCCTCGCTGTTTTTAGCACTTCCATTTACACGCTCCGACGCGACATCATCGAAAGACGCGACTGGAGGTTTTTTTATTACCAGAAACATCAATTGCTGGATTCCACGCCCATTGCCATACTACGAATTCTATCGAACGCAAGTCTATCTGATGCTCATTGAGACTTCAGGATTTCCTGCGAATAACAACATATTATGATCTCTGGCAGGCAGCACTGTTGTCGATCAGTACCTTCCATCGCATCTCCCAACGACTCCCTTCCAAGTCTTTGATCACAGACGCATTCAGTTCCGTTTCTTCGGCAGTTGTGGCTTCCAGAAGACTCATCATCGTCGTTGCGACTACAGCACGGAATCCTCTCATAAGGTCCTTTTGCAAGATGCCTCCCAAGCAAGCTACACTGGGGTATGTCAAAGATTCCCAAACTAATATTACGTGCGTTTCCCTGCGCACATGTCAAGTCAATCAATTTATTAATTCAGACTCCTGGAGTAGGAAGTTCTTTGGGAATCCCAACGGCCCGAAACCTCCAGCGAAGCAGTCGAAGCTTTCGTTCTCGTCCAAAAGCACAAGCAATGGGGCTCCAAGTTCGAGCGCGTCAAAGGAGAATGAAGATGTAGATATGGCGGGTGCAGGTGAGCCAGAGGTCACCTCGAAGCTTCAGGGGCATGCAATTGCGAAGAAGGAGAATGTGAAGCCTGGAACCGGTAGGTCTCGATATGGCGAGCTCAACTCCATCTGCTAACGGTGCACCCTGCAGAATCGAAAAAGCGATCAAGATCTCCTCCCTTGTTTGACAAGAAGGTCAAGAAAGAAGCAATCAAGGTCGAGGAGGACGATGAGGATGAAGATATTATTGTAAAACGACCGCGCCGTGCGGAAAAGACGGAGGTGGAGGAAGATGATGAGCCTGATCCACCGAAACCAAATGCCGAACCGAAACCCAAGTCCAAACCCGAACCATCGTTAAAGAAGTCCAAGAGTATAGCACCCCCTCCAAAGAAGGTTAAGAAGGAAGTCAAGAAGGAAGTCAAGAAAGAAGCCGAAGATGAGGAAGACGAGTCTGACGGTGGTGTGGCGGGCAGTTCGAGCTCAAATGACAAGCTAAAGCGAAGAGACTCTAATGCCTCGGCATCCGTATCAGAAGTTGAAGAGGGACTGGAAGAGGAAGACGAGGATGATGAAGATGAGAAGCCAGAGCTTGCAGCCAAGGCCCGCGAGAAGGTTCAGATCACATTGAAGGCAAAGACCAAAGATCCATATCCCGACTGGAAACCCGGAACACCAGTACCGTATGCTGCTCTGTGTACAACATTCTCTCTGATTGAGATGACCACAAAGCGACTTGTGATCGCAGCACACTGCTCTCTATTCCTCCGACAAGTCTTGCGATTGACCCCTGATGATCTTCTCCCAACTGTTCTCCTCATGATTAACAAACTCGCGGCAGACTACGCCGGAATTGAGCTGGGAATTGGCGAGTCTCTCATTATGAAAGCAATTGGCGAATCTACTGGCCGAAGTTTGCAAGTGATCAAGCAAGACCAGAAAGAAATCGGTGATCTTGGTTTGGTAGCTGTCAAGAGCAGAGCCAACCAGCCAACTATGTTCAAGCCAAAGCCTCTGACTGTTCGAGCTGTCCACAAGGGTCTCATGGATGTCGCTACCACTTCAGGAAGCGGTGCTCAAGGTCGCAAAGTGGATCTCATCAAGAAGCTGTTATCCGCAGCCGATGGTCACTCAGCTGGGAAGGTTGATATCACCAAAGACAAAGGAGGCCCAAGCGAAGCAAAGTATCTTGTTCGATTCCTCGAGGGAAAATTGCGTCTTGGTCTGGCTGAGAGGACTGTTCTCGTCTCATTGGCTCAAGCGATGGTCTGCCACGAGATCGAAGCCAAAGGCTCCGGAAAGGTTCCGAGCACTGAACAGCTCGCAACGGGTGAGGCGATGCTCAAGCTAGTACACAGGTAAGTTGTTGTCTTCGAGAATTTAGGTACACCCTAACACTCTGCAGTCAATTGCCCAGCTACGACGTTATCATTCCTGCTATGTTGGAGCACGGTATCTTCCACCTCCAGGAAAATTGCAAGCTCCAGCCTGGTGTTCCTCTCAAGCCCATGTTAGCAAAGCCCACGAAAGCAATCACTGAGGTGCTTGATCGATTTGAGAATCAGACATTTACTTGCGAGTATAAGTACGATGGCGAGAGAGCTCAAATCCATTACGTTGCTAAGGACTCGGATCAAAGGTATCGTGGTCCTACAGAAGCTGCTACGAAGACGAGTGGTGGCCTCGCTGCTATCTTCTCCCGCAACTCTGAAGACCTGTCCAAGAAATATCCGGATATTCTGGAAAAATTGAACACGTGGGTGAAGCCTGATACTAAGAGCTTCGTGCTTGATTGTGAGACTGTGGCCTGGGATCTGGTGGAAAAGAAAGTCCTCCCTTTCCAACAGCTCATGACCCGAAAGAAGAAGGACGTCAAGGTTGAGGACGTAAAAGTCAAAGTTTGCGTCTTTGCATTTGATATCCTTTTCTTAAACGGGGAAGCCCTTGTTGGCAAGTCTCTCCGAGAACGTCGAGAGCTGCTCCACGGCGCTTTCTCGCCCGTTGAAGGCGAGTTCGCGTTCGCCACGAGCATGAACGGTCAAGAACTTGATGAAATTCAACATTTTCTCGACGAGAGTGTCAAAGCTTCATGCGAAGGACTCATGGTCAAGATGTTAGACGGCACAGAAAGTGGCTATGAACCCAGCAAGCGAAGTCGAAATTGGTTGAAGGCAGGTTGTCTTATCCCCTTCATCTCGCAACTGCTAACGTCATGCAGATTAAGAAAGATTACCTCTCCGGCATCGGCGACTCCCTCGATCTCGTCGTCCTAGGAGCCTACTACGGTAAAGGAAAACGCACCTCCGTCTACGGTGCCTTCCTCCTCGCCTGCTACAACCTTGGGACGGACACTTACGAAACCGTCTGTAACATCGGCACCGGCTTCTCGGAAGCAGTCCTCGAAGAGCTGCACACACAACTGAAAGACGTTGTCATCGAGCGCCCAAAGCCTTTCTACTCGCACTCCTCAGGCAATCAGCATCAACCCGATGTCTGGTTTGAGCCAAGGTACGTCTGGGAAGTCAAGACTGCTGATCTGACGCTCAGCCCGAGATACAAGGCGGGATGCAAGGAAGGCGTCGATCCAAGTGGGGAGAAGGGCATTAGTCTTCGGTTTCCGCGGTTTATTAAAGTGAGGGATGATAAAAAGCCGGATGAGGCGACGAGTAGCAGGCAGGTGGCGGAGATGTATAGGAAACAGGAGAGCGTGAGCAAGAATAAGGGGCCCGCGGTTGATGATGACTTTGAGTATTGATTGATTTGAGGGTTGCATTTGCACATTTGTTGAGCATGAGGGCATGAGGGCACGTGAGGGAGCGGTTGCAGCTATACATCATTGCATGTATTTTCCATGACATCGCTGTTGCTCTATTGCTCCACTCTAATGAGATTATGAAGATAGATGCTCTCTTTCCTTTCTCAGCCTGTCACAGTGAAAATTTGCACATATGTGTGAGAGACAGGTTTCTGCTTTGAGGCTGAGGACCGAGAGAGTAGATTTCCTCTTTTTTTAATCATGGGGTTGAGAAAAAGAAGTGAGTTCTACGAACTATCCGAGGAGGAGGGAGAAGATGGGCCGAAAATGTGTGGGTTTTCCACTATTTCTGGTATACCGAGATGATTGCGATCACTGCTGGCCTTCGTGATGATGTTGTAGCCATCGGTATCAAACATCTGGCCACCAGGTCACGGCAGGCCCCCGACCCGATTTCCTGGGCACTCCTGGACTGTATCTTGGGCAAAACTAGCCAGGTACGGTCCATCAGGGTGGGTAGCTATGATTTTTTTTTTAGAAAGCGGGAGCAGAGATTGTTAGGAACCACTTTAATGAAGACCCGGGGGGCAAAGGGCCAGTTGCCTCGCTCACATCATTGCAAAGGATAACCTCGGCACCCCAATCTGCCATGGTCGTATCACAGTCGATTCTCTCACAAAAGCCTGGACCGCCGGGCAACCATATCTGTCCACTATGGTAGTAGAGGTCGAGGACCACAGTCACGATATTGCGGAATGGAGCTTGTTGCCATGGCCAGGTACCGATAGGAAGGCAGAGAGGCGGTAAGGCAAGTCCAAGTCGGTTAAGTTAAGTCACTGTACAATACAAGTGACTCACTTTGCTTCGCTTAACCAGGGACTGAAGGCCAGAGATGTCACGCTTTGGGAGCTCAACTTCGGAGCAGAGCTCCTTGAATTAATGACTTCCCATTCCGCGGCACGCACAATATAAGGTGACTTAGAATCGGGTGAGTTGATGCGTGAAGGGTGCCGCTCACTTCCTAGGAACGGTCACCATAATCACCCTTGAAGATGGCGCTACCGCTGTTGTGAATCTCGCGTGTAGAAAGTGCAGAAGGAATGGAGAGAGCCACGGTGATCATAGAAAGGAGGGCAAGGAGAACGCAGGTCATAGTGTTGAGATGCATAGTTGCGGTTGAGATGGAGTTCAGATTGTTGGACTTAGCTTTAGAAGATTCAAAGTATGAAGTGTTGTAGAAGAGTATGTGTGAGGAGTTGTAGTAGAAGATTGGCTGTTTGAAAGTAGTTGTGGAAGATGTATGACAGCAGACGTGAATAGGATTGGGGTTTAAAGAAACAGAAGGTAACAGATAGTACTTACTTCTTGCCTTTGATGCCTTGGCATCTGTAGAGGAATTGTACGACTTTTCCCATTCACTTTTCGCAAACGTGGCAAGTTAGACAATACTTCTACTTTAAATTACAAGGTGAGCATTATCAACAACATTGGAATGTCTCAAGTAACTATATTAGCGTCTCCTTCGAGGTTCAATACCTGAAATTACTTGAACTTGAAGTACTCGCAACTTGGAGTTGGATAATAGCCTCGAGTTCGAGTCTCCGCTGGGGTTTGTCAAAAGAGATTGTGCTGGTCACCAGGTATAGTGACCATTTTCCATCCTGCCCTGCGAAGTGGCATAAAGCCATTGCCATGGCGACTGCACCTTCTTTCATGCTAAAGGGATTGTTGGTCAACCAAGCATTGAGGGAAGTTCATAGAGGTTGGCTGCTGCGGGTGGGGCGCATCAACATGTGCTGGACCTCATGAATCATTGTCGTGCAAACTTTCAGATTTGTTACTACTTTGAAGAATATTTAGCGCAGCATGCATCGAACATTATTTTAACCTGGGTTGCTATCAGTATTTTCTTTACTTTTCTAAGAGTCAGGTTGGAGTAGTTATGAATATAGACAGCACATAACCGTCTGACAGAGTGTTCTGTAACGATATCTTCTTTGAAAAGCTAAGTTTGAGATTTCATTGCTCTCTAAAAACTTAGTTCCTGCAATCTTTTATCAAATTCGTACCCCCTTGACCAAGCTCTTATTATCCAGGCTTCAAAAGCCATCACATTTCATTACTCGCAGAAAGCTACCGCGGGACGGGGGAGCATAAACTTGACGTTTGTCCCCCTCACAAGTTTTACTCTTTAATTTCTGGATTTGACAGTAACGCCATATGCAGCAGACTTGCTAAGTGCTTCAAGGAATTGGAAACAGCGATGACCCAAGTGGCCAACCCCCCGGTCCAGCAAGTAAGCCAAACATCCTCAGATATCTTCTGTTTCATCTCTGACTTCTTGCTAGCGTAAACCAAAATTTGAGCTAGATGATCATCTCTGGTTTAGGAAGCCGACAAAGCCAGCAACATACCGCATCATGGTGGTCTCGCGAGAGTATAAGGAAGGCACTGGGAGCTGGTGGTATCAAGTGGTGGATGCCGAAACCGAAGACCCCATTTCGGAGGTGCCAAAATTGGTATCAGAAGACTGGTTGTTCAAAATAAAGCCCTTGGAGTTGGGTCCGTGATGGGATTTGATTTGATTTGATTTTCCCCTCCTGTGGACGGATCATGTTGTTGTATCGTTGAGTTGCACCGCATAGCAGTGTTCAAGACATGGTACGAAGACAACGGCATAAAGTATCGGGAATACAGGGCATTATTTTATAAAGGCCACTAAATGCCCTGTAAGGTCTTACTTTAATCTCCCTATAGCTAGTCCTAGTCCCCTGTAAGCCCCTATAAGCTTGCTAAAAGTGCCCTGAAGGCTTAATATGGGCTTATGCAGCTTGACAGGTACTAAACGCCCCCAAACGCCCATAAATATAGGCGAGTCTACTAATTAGTAGCGAGTAAAGGGGGGGTAATTAGCCCTAATATATATCTCTCTATATATATTTCGTTCTGAATTCTAATTCTAATTAATTAGAAAAACACTTGATACCTTTCGCTTTACTTTAGCTATTATTATAGCTACTTTTAGAGGTTTATTTAATTTTCCTGATTTATTAGATAGCTAATTAGAGCTCTTCTCTCTTCCTGATTCCTCAGATAACGAACGCTCTAACAAGTATACTAAAGATAAAGAGGATACATAGTATAATTTACTATTAGATTTGGATAATTCAGATAATAATTTAGCTAAACCAGCCCTTTTATTACCCGCTTTATTAACTGCTTTTATACTTGCTACTCTTAGGCCCAAAGAATACTTTACTAGTGCCAGAATTAAGGTTATTTATATACTTGAGGATAAGAAGTCTTTGGGACAAATTAGGAAAGCTATAGGAGTACCCAGATTAGCTATTTATTGACTTGTAGCTATAGCTAGAAAGCATAAATAGATAGAAAATAAGAATATGCCTTTGGAAGTCTTATATATACTTAATATACCAAGATCTAGTTAATCTATAATTTCCTCTAAAGTAATTAAATATATTTTAAAGGTTATTCTCTAAAATTCTATTATAAGAGGCTTTTCTTATACTATAATTATAAAGGAAGTAAAGAAAAGGAATTATAAGATTATATCCAGAATTATATAAAAGGTTCTTACTTATATAGGCTACTCTTAATATAAACTAATAGTTAAGCCTGGCTTGAATACCCTTAGTAAAGGGGAAAGATTAGCCTAGTACTTGGAGCGAGAATATTAGATACTTAATAATTAGAAAGATATAATTTTTATAAATAAGACTACTATTTAATTAGGAGATATAAGGGAAAAAAGATATATATAGAGATTATCTAGAGAAGTATATAATAAGTATTATATATAAAAAAGATAAAAAGGATTTTCTGAGTTTATATATTAGGGATCTTTCTTTTATAATAAAAAGGGGCCTTATTATATACAGGAAAAGAAGATTTTATAAGAGAAAAGAAATTGCAAAGCTAATCTTAATATAAAGAACTTATTAATTAAGAAGGCTAATAAATAGAAGTAGGAAAAGAAGTAAAGGAAATAGCTAAGGGAATAAAAGAAGGCTTATAAAAAGGCCCCTGGAAAAGTACGAAAGATATAGAAGTATAATAAGAAGACTAGTACTTATATTATAAAGAATAGACAAAGAGAAATTAATTAGTATTAATACCAGAAGAAGATTTTAATTAAGAAGCTCTTGCTATTTGCAAGGAAATACTAAAAAAATTATCCTAATACCCTTATATAAGAGAATAATATAGGACCTTACAAGTTATATTACTAGGAGAAGATTTATAATCTATAGAAGATTATAAAGATACTTTGGCCAGGAAACTTACCTGATCTTAATATAATTAAAAAAGCCTGGTTCTGGATAAAAAAGGAAACTACTAAGCGGGGACCTACTAGTAATAGGAAGAAGCTGAGAGTAAGGTGGGAGAAATACTAGAAAGACCTTCCCCAGAGCAAGATTCAAGAGTGGATTATAGTAATTCCTGATTACGTAAAGGAGATAATACGTTTAGAAGGGGGGAATAAGTATAAAGAAGGAAGGAAGAAGGGTCAAGAGAAGGTAACTATATATTAGATAGTTATTTAGATAGATAAAATCGAACTAATCAAAAAATAATCGAAATTAGAGGTTTAGCGAGGTAAGCCATATTTCAGGGGACCCTTACAGGGCTTATAGGGGACTAGGACTAGCTATAGGGAGATTAAAGTAAGACCTTACAGGGCATTTAGTGGCCTTTATAAAATAATGCCCTGTATTCCCGATACTTTATGCCGTTGTCTTCGTAGAATCCATTCGACCAAAGTCGGTAGGTTTTCAAGGTACTTCTAGTACGCGGAACTTCGCTCCAGTTGAAAGTGAAATCTCACCACGTTGCCTGTTGAGTAGATATCGTCAACGTAGACTGCTTAAAGCTCATGCCAGTGTCACATATCCAAGAACAACTCCATCCTCACCCACCTGGTAATGCATCGAGTAACCTTTTAAGCAACCAATTCCGTTTTCTTTCGAGCAGCATCCAGACGACTATGCCAGTCGGGAGGAGTATGAAGGTGAGGATGAGCCAGAGGATGTTAAAGGCGACGATTATGTAAAGGACGAGATACAGAGTATTCTTGGTTCAGGGCAGATGAGAGATCAACCTGATGATGCTCGGGGGTTGTAAGTTTGCGAGGACATCTTGGTTTGAAATGTGAGTGCAGTCCAAAATGCCTGGCGAGATATAGGGACTAAAATTTCTTGACGGATTTCATAATGTATTCTAGTGAAATTTATGAATGAGGTTGTAAATGGAACTTGAGGTGAACCTTTTGATCTGTTTTCAGCCCAGGTCTCTGAACTTCGGGACCCTATCTTAAGCACTGCAAAGGAGAGAAGAAAGTAGAACAAGGGAATGCTATTTATTATATTCGGTATAAATCCAAGAACAGCTTGAGGAATTTTGAGTCAAGAATCTCATGACCAACCACCCGTGAAACAGGAATCTGATAAACATGCTTGGTACTCGAAGGATCAATTCCTCCCTGGATATTTTGGGTGTGTCGCTGATATTGCTATATTTGCAGCATTAGCACGAGCCAGTTGAAAGGAGGGGGAACGAGGAACTGACGATCAGGGCAGGTCGATTCACAATCATTCCACCTCTTTGAACACCGATAGCAGAATGCGGTCTGGCACCTCGAGCAAATCATATGCAAACATCCCGACTGCCTCTCAATTAGGTGATTGCAGCCCGGACATGTCTTCCAACCCTTCTGCATAGCCAAATCTTTGACAGCTTTCGTTTCCCGGTCCTCTTCACAGAATACTCCTGGGTGGGTCCTCTTTCTACAGTGCCGACAAGTCTGTGTCTTACAACTCCCACACGTGCCAACCTCGCCCACAATCGATGCTGGAGGCAAGAACTTTGCGCAGGTGACATTACAGCAGTACATTGGATTCGGGGTTGTAAGTTCGAGTATCAGCTCCTGGTACTTGACGACGAAGTCTGCTTCCAGACCAGTGCAGTCGTCCACACTCAAGTTTTTCTTGCAACACTTGAACGGGGTCTTCGAAGCCAATGCATTCTTAAAACCTGCTTGCAAGCAGTCTTCGCAGTATCCGTGCTCACATGGTCGCAGGAACTCTTCTTTATGGTTCTCGTCTCCACAAACAACGCACTCTTCGAAGTTTGTCTTCTTGTACTCCTCCCATGCCTCGTGGTTCTCTGTCTCCCGGTCATATTCATCTTGCAGCCTCATGGCTTCGGCCCACCCCGCGTCGTTGGCCAACTCTTCTGCGCGGAGCGACTCTTCGATTTCGAGGGCATAGAGATGGTCCAGTTGCTCTTGTTGCGTTTGTGCGTCCCACTGGGAAAAATCGAATTGCGGAAGCTCTTTGGAATCAGAAGCCTGAACTCCATGCGCTGTGGCTCCCGTTGGTGCCCCCGTTGATGCTATCAAGTCTTCATATTCCCTCGCCATGAAATGCGCCAGTTCAACATCGCCGCGGTCTGCCGTTCCGTTTGCCAGGGAGAGAGCCAGGAGCATGTCTCGCTCCTGCTGTATCTCGCGATACTCCTCCTCCTGCAGCATTCTAGCGAAGGCTTCATCGTCTGTCAATACTGGATGGGTTGTAGTCCCGCTGCTGGATCTCCTCGTCTCTTGTTTAGATCTCGGACTGTCGACGACATGTGGTTGTGGTAATACAGAAGCACCATGTGACAAGGTGTGGTAAGCCGGAGGTGGGCTTTCCGCTCGTTTCCCAGCCCCAGCTGCCACTGCAACAGGGGTGGTCATCAGGTCCTGGATCTTATCTCTCGATTTATTCCGGACCTTGACCAAACCCCTTTCTCTGGGAGGAGGATCCTGATATATTGGCTGAATTTTGTTAGTTTGGTTCATGCCTAACATATCCACGGCTGATTTGAACGCCTTCGAGGTGAGATTGGAGATACGGCTCAGGTAACCACCCTTCTGTAAAAGTTTAGCGACGAGCTTCGAATTTGTGCACAGAAATATTTAGTACTTACATTGGCTGGATTGGGTGCGTTCTCTGCCTCGACAATGTTTCTTTCGCCCATTTCCTGGAGGCTTTGTTTTAGATCACTGGGCTTTGGTTGTGGCGATGGCTTCCCACTCATCGGAAGAGAGGTTGCTCTTGTCAATGTGGCTGGTGCTTTCCACCCATTTTGTGGGCTTTCCGGTTCGAGAGCTGCCGGTTTCCACGAATAGTTTCGCATTGGCTGAGGCGGCCTGCTCGAAGGCCCTGGTTCGAATCCAGTCTCTTGGATAACAGGAAAGCCCGTGAAAGGATCAGTGTATTCCTCTGGAGCGTCGTGACATTGAAGCACGGCGGTCTTTCTTTTGGGTTCCGAGGTGAACAGAGCCTCCTTCGAAGCATGCCAATCTAGGGAAAAGCCTTTGGAAATCGCACCCCGAGGCTTGTTATTGTCGTCTTCTCCAAAGGCACTAACCCTATCTTTGCTTGATGCTGCTTCGGCGATAAGTTCCCCACAGAGATTGAGCTGATCCAGTCTCTCGGCTTCGAGATCAACATCATCGTCAGACGCTTTGCCTTTACCTTTGCCCTGCCCGGGGTCGGGTTCCGATGTGCTTTTGGCAAGTAGATCGGCATATGTTGACAAGGCTGCCACCAAAACGCTCTTCCTACCCGCTTCCATCTCGACGAAATCAAGGCAGAGGTGCAGATGCCTTCTGGAACACGGCGTGCACGACGGCTGAGCTTGTTCCAGGCACAACAAAGGCACCAGACAATCTCGAAAGAGATTTTGAGTCTCGAACGAAGAAAGAGTGAGGTTGGAGATCTGGCTAGCGCCACCGCATGAAGGAGCATGCTATTCGCTGGAATTTGAAGCCACGCCCGGGGTAAGGCTTCCAGCGGCTAATGAGGCCGACGGGTGTTGCAAAGCTTGAAAGGCGCGGAAATACTTCATAGGGCTTTGAAGTTTGATTTTCATGATAAATATTGTTCCACTCCTTCGCCTGTACCGTGAGCCATTGTTGTTATAATACCCCTAAGTCAGCATCGCTAGAAGCAATCCAACCTAACGAGGTAACAGCTGCTAAAAATGCACGCCTATCGTCTGTTATTACATGGAATGATATCAAAGTGCAGTCCTTCACCTCAATCGTGCTCATCTCTCTTCTCGGGCCCGTATGGCTTAGAACTCTGCAACAACGTAGTTTACTAGTTGTTTCGGTCACGTGTGTGTCGGATTACCTTTATCAGAGGCGAATCTCGGCAAAAATACAGGGGCAACACCACTGAAACGAGCACGCGATCCGCACGCATCTTTCAACTCTCCACTTCTCGACTCCGATAAGTTGACACTCCCTCAACACAACAAACTCAAGTTCGCCGCAAACCCCGAAACCCGCCCCCCCCTAAGAACTCGGAACTCGAAACCAGCCCCGCTCTTTGCAGCAAATCACTTTCACCCGGGTGCAGCCCACTAGGTCACCTTCGTGATGCCTCTCAAATTCTCCACAGAAAGCCCAGAAGATGTGGCTGAAAACTTGAGTTTAGCCTCCGTAAAGCCAGTCTACCTTGTTATCTACGCATCAGCCGTCGAGGGAAGGATGTGGTGTAGCGATTGTCGGGATGCCGAGTCATTTGTCAATGCCAAGTTCGGGGACTCGGGAAAGACTGCTACGGCCGTTTACGCAGGATTGAAACCAGAGTGGGTATTTGCCATTCTCTTCGTGGTGTTTTGGCCTGACGAGATGAATAGATGGAAGAGTCCTGATAATGTTTGGAAACAGGAACCTTTCTTGGTGACTGCTTTGCCAACAATTATCAAGGTTAAAGCTGACGGAGTAAGCTCAAGAAAGAATCATAGAGTGATAAGAAACTGACTTCCTAGCAGAAGTGGGAGAGGCTGGTTGAAGATGATGTATATGACCAGGCAAGGTTGGATGCATTTGTGAGTGGGTAGGAGAGGACCCAACTTGCAATGTTGAGAGGATCAGCTTGGTTCAAATTTTAGAGAACCAAAAGTTAAGCAAGGGGCAATGGTTAAGATGTTTTCAAAGGGTTGTGTGCTCAGGCTCACAGGAATTGGAAAGTGCATTTCTAGTGGCAGTTCAACATTGAGCGGTCAGGGGATGTGCCATGAAGAAGTAGATCAAGAGAAAAGCTAATTGAATGCTAGTCCGAATTTTGTTGTACTGCGAGGATGTCTCCAATTCTCTCGAAATGAGTTGTATTCCCAGTTCCTTGGATGTCGTTCACCGCTTTTAATACATTAAGAGACTGTCCTCATCTAATCCCCATGACTCCCACTGTCCTCCAATTATAACGAATTGGCCCTCCTCCATCCTCAATTGGAAGTGCGAGCGGAGGTTTAAGAGGTCCCATGGTGTCTCGTCCTTCCACCAATCTTGATTGTAATATTCGGGCGGGCGTTTCCAGATTGTGCCGAGGTTTTGCGACCAATTCATGGTCTGTCCAGGGCAGGCTTTCCAAACCCAGATCTCCACACTTGTGCCGAGACCACTGTATTTTGTCGCAAGACGTTGACCTTGGACCCCAACCTTTCTTAAAATTCGATCCATGGCGGCATTGACTATTCGCTGGTGTCTACTTCCATCGATCCGTCTATGTAAGACCGGAATCTGAACCGTTACCTCAGAAAGCAGCTTGAATCCCTGCAACCAGAATGGAAATTCAGGGATGAAATGAGCAATGCTTGTGTCTGACATAGAGCAATGCAAGTTGAGAGAAAGATGAACTTTTCGTATGTTTTCGGCTAGAAGGAATTGAGAGGTGAACCATTCAGGTCTTTGAAACCCGTAATCAACGAAATTGAGGCCTTTGTCGCTGCGCCGGATCAAGCCAGAATCGACAGGATCACTGTTAATTTTCGTCAGTGTCTTACATTTGCTGTAATAGAGAGTGGGGATTACTCAAGTAGCAGATTTGCGTCCTCAAAGGTACCTAGCTCCACTCGATTCATGTCTCGAATGCAGTACCCTGTTCGAGGGTCCAACCGCAGATGGGGGCCGCTTGCTTTCACGAATCGTTGTAGTGCCTGTTTGTAAGAATGATTCAGACCCCGGAGTGCTACTACAAGTGGAGGCATTGAGCCACCCCAAGCAAAGTACCTCAAGCCCTTGTTGTCCACTTCGTCGAATATCGTATCTAGAATTTCGATAGGACATCTCTCCCACGGACAGGATTTGACAGTGAGGGTGGTAAATACTGAACTCGGGTGATCCGGTTGCGTCTCGGTCGCACCATCGTTGTGATTCTCTGGCTCTGTGTTCGCACTTGTAGGAGTTCGAGTTGATACCGTGCCGGAAGTGTGAAGAGGCTGGGATTCGTTGTCGCCAACGGCATTCGCAGGATTACGGCCAGAGAGCAAGTAGCGTGTGTCATGAGTGGGGGGAACTGGGTCGCCATCCATCGTAATGGCTGATCTGTCAGCTGTGGAAGGGAGGTAAGTGTTTGTGGTTGTTCGTGTTGGTTCAAGGGGAGAAAGGAGCCAGGAGATGACGCCAAATAAATAGAAATTCAGCCAGTACAAGCGAGGGTGTGAAATAATTCACTTTTATTCCATTATCGAACAAAGGAAAATGATCGACTATTCTGACTATTTAATAATCAACCAATCAAGGCCCCTATATCTAGCAATAAAATTTATAATATGTGCTCAATTGATGGTTTACATAATGACATGCAACAACATTCACTGAGAGAGAAAAACTGATGGTGGTGAAAAGGCAGGTTAATTTCTTTCTCTAGATTCTAGAAATTTTTTAATGCTACTCGTTTATTGCGAAAGGAAAACTGTTCAGACCGCTCTGTGCCTTGATCAAGATCCTCAAAGTCAGGATGCCTAACTACAATGTTGATTCGTCATTCTCACCAATAACTTCTAAGATGACAGATCCTCCCCGCCTCGGACCCAGTTGTGCATATTTGCCATCGATTTCCAAATGCCTTCGATTAACAGTGGTTCGGACGAAACTAAACCCTACTAATGTCTTACGATTAATCCATGAGAACCTGGCTGCAGATACCCATGTCTACACCTGTGCTCGCTGGAATCTGGGAGAAAGCACCTCCTCGATCAGCAGTCCCTAGACTCCAAATCTCTTCTTAATTCGTTTCAACATCCTACCAACAATCTCTTATCGTGTACCCCTACGTAGAAAACTTTTAAATAGCTTTAACTTTTATATAATTAAAAGAATTTTCATAGCTTTAAATTTTAAAAATAAGAATTATAAAGCTTTTAATTATTATAAATAATTAATTGAAATAAGATTTAGAAAAATTAAATATAAAAGAAATTAATAATAAGCTTATAAAATGACTTTTCTTTAAAGTGTTTTATAAAATATATTAAAGAAACTTTTCTTATATTAAAAATATAATTATAAAATTGAACTAAAAAGAAAAGTGCACCTGCGGTCACTAAAAGCATTTATTCTATTAATTGTGAAAGGCGAGGGTGCTTGGCTGAGAAGACGAGAGTAGTGGGTATGGTGGTAGTTAAATCACGACTACTGGAACCCATTCATCAAGTCCAAGCAGTTGGGCCTCTGGCTAGAATGCTAACTGTGTCCCACAACCGCTGTTCTAAATCGTGTAACGGAAGAAGCTCGCGTCATTACCACGGTCCGACTCAGCACGTTTCATATCAGAAGTATAGCCTTCCGGAGAGCCGTACGCCTCTTCGCGCTTCTTGTTTATGCGCGTGAGGCAAACCATTTGAATGACGATGAAGATCAACGCCAAGCCTAGGAAACTGTGTTCAATTAGTATGGTATCAAAATAAGCAGCCAGAATTGCAAACTTACGCAAGAATAGTGCCGTGTCCAGTAAGATAGCGAGGCTTATCTTGATTCCTGTATCTGATAATAAAATTCGTCATTGGTCACTGGGTTGGTTGAGATAGGGGACTCACACGAACGAGGCAATAATTCCGCCACAATTGCCAAAGCCGATTTGCATGGCGATGCCGACGCCTCGTTTAACGCTACCTCCGATATTGTTGCCATTCCACATCACCATGATTGGAATCATCGGGTATCTAATTGCCTGTTAGCGATATGAAGAGACTTAGAACTAACAGACTTACACCCCACACGCAGCCAAAAATGTTCCGATGTATTGAGCAGCCGGTACTTTAGTTACGATGAGAAGGATATAGCCAATGATGGCTAGGCTGCAAAAGCCGAAAAGGAAGCTAAAACTATCAGCCGCTGTGCTGAGGTAGTATGCAGGAAACAGAGTTCGTACATGCCACGCTTTCCAAGCTTGTCGCTGTAGTATCCACCTAAAACTGTGCAGAGACAGCCTAGGACATATGGTGGCTGTGGGAAATTATCAGAATGTTCTCTAAATAAAGGAATTAGGGGGACAAACCACCGTGAGCAATTGAGATGTGGCTGCGGAGAAACCCATGGCAGCAATGATGGAGGGTAAAAAGAGGGAAAAGGAATAAAGTGGAGCCAGGATTCCTAGGTAAGCGCTGCAAAATCGTGTTCAGCCATGCCCGAATTCAACATTGCAGGGTAGTAATACTGACATGCATTGCATCCAAATTTTCCAATCTAGAAAGGCGTGCCACATGAATTTCGTGTCGTAGTGAGCAGCCAGATCTTCGTTGTCATGTGCCAATCTTGCCTGCACTTCTTTCGCCTCATCTTCGCTCAGAAAGCTTGCTGTCTTGGGGCTGTCGGCGAGAACCCAGAACGCAGCAATGGCAATGAACACTGTGAGAAGACCCTCAAGGATGAAAATCCACGCCCATCCAGGCCTACCTCCCACGCCGGCCATTTCGTTGATCCCGCGTGCAAGTAGACCGCCAAATGCGCCAGCAACAGTGGCCGCGGAGAAGAAGATTGCTGCACGGAATGCACACTCCCGTCGACAATACCATAGAGTGATATAGTAGTTGACGCCCTGTAGAAATATGCGGTCAGCTAGTGCGAAAGGTCTTTACAGGAACTAAGCTCACGGGGAAAAGACCAGATTCTGCAATTCCCAGGAACACGCGGGCGATTACAAGTCCGTTGAAATCTCTGACGAGGCCGGTAAGAGTCATAATTATGCCCCATCCGAGCATAATGATCGGGAACCACATGGACTTGCAATAATTAGTGGGCACGAAAATGGTTTTTGGTATCTAGATGACATACTGGTCTCCAGCGTTTCAGGACCCTGCCATTGTTAGTATTAACGAATGCAATAGATCAAAGTAGTGCTTACATGTTAGAAGGTACTTCGAAAAGGACATATGTAACGACTATGGGGGCATAAGCATAAATTTTCGATTTCTAACTTTAGCGGCTTACAGAAGACACCTGCGGAAAACCAAGATCAGCCATCAATTCAGGACAGTTTTACCAATTGGGGCTCTTTAAACTTACATAAGGCTGTGTTATATTGATTGCCTACAAGCCCAAGCGACTTCTCCAAGCCAAAAAGCTTTGCATTGCCGATGTTGGTACGACTTTCATCTACGTCAGTTGATGGTCACTTTCGACTTGAATAATGCGACTCACTCTAGGAAGGAAAGGAGGTAGAGAAGCGACAAGAACGGGATCAAATGACGATCGATCTTGCGGAGAAGCGCTTTGGTTTGTTTCGTATCGTACGTTGGGACAACTTCAGCTTTAACAACAACGATTTCAGAATCATTAGTCTTGACTGTGTCGAGCTCAAGCGGTGGCTCTGCTTTAGAGTCTCGAGGATCCATTCTGGTTGAAGGATTACTGAGGCGCGAATAGCGATCTTGCGGGTTGAAAGAAGTAAATGAAGATCAATTTAAAGACCCACAGAAAGTTGGATACTGCGGGCTATGAGCAAGTAATGTACAAAGAGTGAATGCCTTGCTGCGAGCGGAGATAACCACGACGAGTCATGCTTTTAAGCCACTCGGGATATGGCGGCATTGATTCTCGCCAAAGCTGGTGCCTTCAGACGCAAATCCCACATGGCGCACTGCCTCCACTCCTAGAATGGCGGGGGGTTCTTCCAGGATTCACGCCACACGGAGTAAGGGCTCATAAGCGTTACGCTATTTGAATGGACAAGGGAGCCTTGGAATCAGCCTGTTAGGTACCGAGCCTTTGAGTTCCCCACAATGCGCAACTCCAATAATTTACAACCCCTTCAAAATGTTCGGCTGCTCCGTAGCACTTCATAGGCTGACCATCTCCTGTGTCAATTGGGGATAACCGGAGATAACTTGGGCTGAAAGGCATTTCGTACATTTGCACAGCGAAGCCGGGGCAAACCTTGACCCTTGGCTACCCTCAATAATAACGGTGATATCACTTGGCGCCATTGGTCTGTGAACACAAAATAAGTTTATTAAAAATATAACTTTTGCCGTTTTCTTTCCCGAGCCTTGAATTCAAATATATTATTAGCTGGAAGGGTGTTACTAAAGAATAGATTACTGGATTCACCCGTATTATACGAAGGCAAAGCAAGTTTTGGAGTGTGTTGGAATGCCAAATTCTTTTTAACTTCTCCTTTCCTGCCAAGTTGATGAGCTTTCTTTAATAATACTAGTTTACCAGAGGTCTCCAGCATTAGCAAGCTTCTTAGGCGCACAGAACTGAATGAGCACACTTGGCATAGGGTAGAATAGGTGTTAATCAGCAAAAGCATGTATTTACCTACAAAGAGTAAAATACCACGAGTCCTAGGCAGGTGACCGGCCCGCCCACCGGGGTGACACGGCACTAGCCACCTTCCATATAACACTTATTTCGGCCTCTATGTTGTAAGCCTTAGCCGAACCTTTCCGAAATATCCCGTAAGGCTTGCGCCCCTATCGAGAAGCAGAGGGGCATTGGGTCTTTCTAGCTTGACAAAGTACTGTAAGCACGGCGCAAACTTTATTTGTAACTATTTGAAATAAGGCTAGATACCCGAGCCGTGGCCTTCCATATTATTGCGGTCCCCGAGTGCGGGGTTACGGGGCGCGTAAGACGCTAAAACTATGCAAGCACGTGGCTGGTAAACGAGCTTCCTAATCGGGACATAAAGTGACCAATAGAACCCTAGTGTAAAACTTTGTTGTGAAACCTGACCCACTAATGACTTCCAAATTGCGGTATTTACTTTGGTATGCCCAAATTAACCTTTCAAGTTGGGAAGTTCCGTAAAGCGGGTGGACTCGGCGTGGAGATAGCCCCTCCTTACAGTAGGAAGTTACTTGGTCTTTCCCGCTAGGCCACCAGCTCCTCTCTTACTCGCTTTGCCAGCCGTCTGGCTGCATTTATTATCGAAAGCACGGAAGTTCCACTAGTAGCGCAAAATAATGGAAGACCAGGGTATATACGGTACCCCGCACACCCCTTACTAAGAGCAACGGAGGTCGAAGTTCGAAGATGCTCGAGTTCGACTCGCTTTGTGCGAGCAATCCATTACTCCAAACGTCTAGCATATGATTCTCGTTTGGACACTGCAGTGGCGAGCGACAAAGGCCGCTCAAAGATCAAAGGCTCTATGGAGATTGACCTCCCGACAACGGAACTTCTGATTAGAAATGATTTTACTACGCAGCTAGACAATGGGGGCACAACGGTGTTTGTTATTAGCATTATCTTTGCTATTCTCTCATCTGTTGTAGTTGCAGGGCGGCTGGCTTCACGACTCTCTTTAGGAAATTCTTTCGGACTCGATGATGTGGCAATCGTTGTATCTCTTGTAAGGTCATCCTTCTCTTACTTTGTGTATCATGAAATCGCGTCTTATTTCCAGTGTTACAAACCTCATGCCAGACTAACAATGAGATCCTAGGCAGTGTCAATAGCTCAGTCAATAGTTATTTGTCTTCGTACGACTCCCACTTCTCCTACCAAGCATACTTTACGCTACATTCCACGTTCTGACATGTTAGGAAGAGTGTAAAGCTGGGATAGGAAAGCACGGAGATGATATTTCACAGCAATCACGTCTCGAGTCACTTAAGGCTAGTCATCACGAACTATACCCACCAATTGTATTGAACAAGCTGATAGATGGGCATATAGCTTTTTTGGGTCTTCCAGTGCACATACAAAATAACCATTTACCTAACCAAGGCGTCAATTTTACTTCTTTACATTCGTATATTCGTCGTTACGCCCTTTCGTCGAGCTGCGTGGGCAATGCTGGTTATCGTGATAGCCTGGGGTGTCGGCAGCACGCTGGTCGCAATATTTCAGTGTCAACCTATCCGTCGCGTATACGACATATCGGCGGCGGGCAATTGTATTAGCAACACAGTCGTCTGGTATGCAAATGGTGGCTTCAACATCACGTCTGATATCGTGATTTTGCTGATGCCCCTTCCCGTCATTTCATCACTTCAACTGTTGCGGAAGGATAGGGTTGGACTAATTCTTGTGTTTACTGTTGGGGGAGTGTGAGTTTCCTGAATATATTCGTCATTTATCAGAATTTGCTGACATGTTTGTATTAGCGTGACTGTCATATCTACGTATCGGATGACTATCTTAAATGGAGCGTTAAAAACCTTGGACCCAACCTGTGAGTTCTCGCCTGTAATACTCGAACACCCTCTATATAATATATTCTACAGGATGTCTAACTATTGAATCTGTTCGTACTCTAGGGGATGTGATACAAGTTTTATTGTGGAGTTGCGTCGAGACAAATTTAGCAATCACGTGTGCTTGCTTGCCTATGCTTAGGCACTTCTTTGCCACCATTCTCCGGCGTCTCTTCCCTGAGCAAACACCTGCAGTCAGAGCGCCCCCAAGCTTTTGGAAGGGGTCTGAGGAGAATATTGTTTGCCTAGAATTGTCAGTACCTACTCATTAGCCAGGAATCTTCTTTTACTAGAGGGAGAAAATCTGCTGGTTAATTAAATTATTCTTTGTAAACTTTCTTATATAAGCAGCTAGCAATTTTGTTTAATTTACAAGTTCTGAGGTCACGTGTAACGTATAATGTAAGCTTGAAAAGTGTGACAGCACGAGAACAGAGGCCTCAAGATAGAAGCGCGATTTCGGTATGTAACTTAGAATATAAAGCTGAGGAGAGAAGGTTCAGAATGAGACAAGAAGAGGTGGTTTTATGCCAACCTCGCTTGACGCCACGTGATATTATCACGTGAGACATGGTTGCAGTTTCCAGAGCTGTAACACTCTTAGATCCAAATTACGACATATGTAGAGTAGCTGCCATTCGCACAACATTTAGGAAAGAGGGATAAGGACTTTTTAATATAAAAACCAATGCTACTTGCTTGCATTTTGTGACGGTGTCATCCTGAATTATCCCTGAATCATAACTAAAGGAAAATCACTTGTCTCGATATAAATGTACCACGAACGACCATTATTTCTTCCAGCACCACCTTACTAGGTCTAATTTTAGTTGAATTAGAATTGCGGATACTCTTGGCTAAGCGCAATTTGCAAACTAGTATCAAGTTGGGATATATTATTGGATGTGGCTATTTTCTTGTTTTGAGAGAAATATCGCGGTCAAGGATAGACAGCGATGTAGACATTGGCCTTGAAGTTGTCGAGGAGCCAAAGCTTGGCGGTTTAGACATTAGCCCAGATATGAATGCGGACTTGGGCGATGTGGAAAGAGCAGAAATTGTACCGGAACCATTTAATAATTGACAAAATTGAAGAAAACATCTGAGAATTGTGAACCAACTCTCGGCACTAAAATCTCTAACAGATCTACCGGATGTAGGATAGGAAATTACTCCAGAAGCTCGGCATGAAATTGGTCCTATTGGTATATATATATCCTTTGAGCATCTCTTCCACCATGGGTACTGTTGCACCAGGGTCTCCAGCGTTCTGCACAACGTGCGATGGAGGCCAATCAAGTAAGGCGTCTCGATACTAGAGCAACTGAAGATCAACAAACTTATACACCCCCACTTTGTGCGATAGTCCTGGCAGCACGTTTGTTTATTAACTAGACCATAGCTCTGTTTCCTCTACCTCGTGTTCTTCCTTGACCGGACCAGCATTGTAGGCCCCAATTCGGCGCCTCTCCTCAATATCTACTGACCATGCTACGCTAACGCCAAAATCAATGGTCTCCAAAAGGATCTTCACATGACCAATGGCCAATACAATGCTTCGCTGAGCATACTCTTCGTCTCTTATGCCTGCTTTGAGCCGCTCACCAACATCCGTCTCAACGTCTCAAGCCCAGCATCTTCCTCCCTGCTATTATAATTATCTGGGGGATTTGCATTACCTTCACGGGATTCTGCCACAACTACTCTGTTCTCTTGGCTGCACGTTAATTTCTCGGTTTGGGAGAAGCCGGGATATGAATATTTTTTAAAAATTAATTTAGTATTTCAAATTTTCTTTTTTAAAAATAGATTTATTATATTTATTATTTTTTTATCATTTTTTATAAAATAGCCTTTTATTATAAAATATAAAGTATATAATAATAATAATAATAAGATAATATATGTGACGGCAGGAACAAAGCAATGGAACGATGCTCAAAGATCTATGATTCCAATGTCCTACAGAATCTAAAGCTAAGGAGAGAAGGAGAGAAGTGAGGTGTGGCAGTGGATAAGTAGGTATGGCCAAGACCACTGAAACGCCGAGCTTGGTTTGAACCATAGCTTGGAACCTTAGCTGAAACCAACCCGTAGCACCCATGTGACACCAGCCGTTACAATATATAAATAAATAAAATAAGTAAATTATAAAGTAAAGCTTTTAAGTATAATTAATTTCAAGAAATAACTTTAATAAAAAACTAATTAATACTTTCTTTTAAAGCGCTATATATTTCTTTATACATTTTCTAGTTCTGAGCTAAGTATTTATAAGCTCTTTATTTAATTAATATAATTTAATATAACTTTATATAAGTAATATTTTAAATAAAAAACTAAATTTATAATATTTTATTATATATATATTATATATAATAATTAAATACCTTATTTATTCGCGTAATATAACTTTAAATACTTTTTGATTTCTTTTTATTTTATAATTTGTAATTATTAAATATATTTAAAAGTTATATATATATATATATTATATCTTTATTAAACTTAATATTTAATATTATTTATATAATTATAAAACTATCTAGCTATAACTTTATAAATAAGGTTATTATTATATTTATAAATATATAATAAACTAATATTTCTTAAATTAAAATAATAATTTTCTTTTAATAATATTTAATATAAGTAATTAAAATATTATATTATTTATATATTTATTATATAATTTTTTTTATTTAATAAAAAATATTTAAGGAGATTTTTTTAAATTAAAATTTAATAATTAGAATTTGGCTTAAATTATTATAATTATTAAAAGAATTTTATTAGTTTTTAAAATATTTAAATAAATATTTTCCTAATTAGTTTATATAAAATTACTTATTAAATATATATTTAAATATAGTCTTTATATATAATTTTTATATTATATATATAATTAATAAAGCTTTATAAACTAAATATTTAGCTTTTATATATATTATAAGAGAGAAACTATAATAAGACAAAAACTCATATAAAGTATACCAGAGTGCAAAACGTGACTTAATAGCAAAATAACAAATCAAAAGTATAAATAGTAAAGTATAAATAATATATAGTATATAAAAGCTTAATTAATTAAATATTTATAAAGAATTATTCTCTAAGTCTATAGAAAAACTAGCTTTCTTATATGATTTCCGCAAGTCATATATAAAAGGCCACGGCCTTTACTATATAACCTAAACCTTAAAACCGCCAAAATAATATGATTTTTAATAAGTATAGCCTGCTATATTATATCTGACTTCCTATTTATTTGTACTTATTTCCTAAGTACTAAAAATAATAGAAAAATCTTACTTAGAGTCCGAAATAACGAAATATTCAGAATTCTTCTCTATTAATTAATCTAACTTTTTCTTTATATACCTAAAATAAAACTTATTATTCTTAAATAGTCTTATTTTATACTCTCGAATTTGCTTAAAGATAATCCGAACCCGCTTAGCTATATTCTTATACCAAATCCAATATAGTTCTCTATATTAATTAGTATTTGCCTTTAATTATTACTTAATTTCTGCTTTTATTATAGGGTACTAAGAAGGCTTATTATAGTGAATTATATTATAAATTATACTAATATACTCTAAATAGATAGCTTTTTCGAATTTCATATTATCTATAGTATTCTTGAATCGACTTTTAATAGGAAGAGAAAGCTCTAGATAAGAGGCTTTAATAACCTTATAGGAGACTTTATTTTCGCATATTCTATTCTTAATAGTAACTAGATTTATTAGAACTATAGTAAAAGGCCTATTAAGTAATAAATTATTATTAAGCTATTCTTTAACTTATATATTATTCGAGAATTAGTACTTTCCTATAATTCCAGACTTATAAATTATTTAGCTAAAGATATTCATTTATCTAGTTAAATAGATTATACTCGGAGTCTTTTCTCCTATTACCTTTAGTAAATACTTGCCTATTTCCTTAGCTACTTCCGGCTTAAATTTATTAGAAATAAAAAAGTAATTAATGTTTTTAAAGAACTTCTTATTAAAGATAGTAGCCTTCTTATAGTCTATAAGGAAAATATAGCTAATATTCTAATACTTTTTACTAAGGTAGAATTCGCTACTTAAAGCTTTAGTAATAGCCAGATCTTTAGTATTGCCTTTATACTAATTATAATTAATATTTCTAGAAATAAAGTATTAGGCTAGCTAAGAATAAGTAACTAGATAAATAGGATACTTACTTAATATCTTATGAAATCCGAGTTATATTAATAGATCTACTATTAAAAGTTAAGAGGCTAAGGTAAAGTAGCTATTACTAAGATCTCTATATATTAATATATTATTTTTTTAGAGATAGAATTATAATATCTCTATTTCTTTTATTAAGAGCTCTTAAATACCAAGCTTCTTAATTTATTTTAGGTAATTTTTCTTATAAATATGGCTATTAGTACCTAGATTAGTAATACTAGACTTAGAAATAGGAATTATAGTATTAAATTAGAACTATAAATTAGGGCGGAATTAATTAGAAATACGATACTTATATTTATACTTTTTAATTTCCTAGTTCTTAAAAAAGAAATCTTATATTTTCTTATTTACTCAAGTAATAGAAATATACTTCTTGCTTTTAATAACTTTATAAATCTTAGTAACTAGCTTTAAAGTATTCTTAATCTCTTATATATTAATAGAGAAAGTATTAGTAAGTTATTAAGTATATATTATATAAGGAGCTTTAAGGAATTTATTATTAATCCTATAGTATTCTCGCTTATAAATAGGTCCCAAAATATTATTATATATTTCCTTAAAAGTATACTTATCTTATTAAGCAAGTATTAACTTTATTTAGCTAGTATCTTATAGGTATACTAAATGCCTTTATTAATTTCTCCGGACTTAATATCCTTAGTCTTTTACTTCTTAGTTCTGGGTATAATTATAAGAGTCTTTCTAGATAGTATTTTTCTCTTTAGAATAGAGGGTTCCTTCTTACTTTCCTCTAGTTTACTAATCTTATACTTGGTTTAGTACTCAGATCTCTACTATTTATTAGAAGTTTTAGGCTTAGCTTACTTTCTATTCTTATTAGGTTCTTCTTATCTAATTATACTAGTTCCGCTAGCTTTACTAGTAGTTTTCTTACTAGGCTCTATTAAATTAGCTCTATTTTTCTTAGCTAGATCCGGTTAAGTTAAAGCTAAAATCATAATAGGAGCCTATTCTTTAAGCTTATTTTAGAAAGCAGGAAAAGACTTATTACTATAAACTTCCTTAATTAGGATTCCGGAAATATTAAAAATATACTATCTAGCTTTAAGGTTATTAGCTAATAGTAGCTTAAATTCTAATTCTTTATATTCTGAAATAGCTTTAGTATACTTGAATATTTTAGTAATATCTAATTTAGTAAATATACTAGTATTCTAATACTTCTTATTCTTAATATACTCTAAAATAGCTTTATTAATTAACTAAATAGCTTTATATACTCAAGCTTTTATCTTAAAGAGAGAGTATAACTTCTTATAA